TTCTGAAGCTATTATCTTGTGGCATTTTAAATTAATTGCTATTTAACTGGGAATACGCCACAATTAAAGATAAAAATACGTTTATTGACGTTTCAATTTCCACTTCGGAAATCGTTCTCAAAATACAAACAGTACATTAAACAAATTTTGTTTTTTGTTACATAGTGAAGAATTCTTCTAACAATTTAATTTTATCTGACTCATTTATATTGACAATTCAGACATACATTATGCATTTTAAAGTAGACGACTTTAAAATGATATTGCCAATATTGTTGAGTTGCGCTTCTGGGACGACTTTACTTATAAGATAGTTCATTCGATTACATGAAATCAACTTTAACTTGAGAATATCCGTCAGAAAAAATCATAGCATATAATTCGTTCAATGATTACAGTAAAATTCTCCTGTTAGTGATTCCATAGTAAATTATGAGGGAAAAACCAGGAAAAAAACCTCATAATACTATCCCGACATGGTAAGTAATTGTTCGTGCAATTAGTTTACCTTCAATAAACACCAAAATTCTGATTTTATATGTTTCGTTATTTAAAAAACATAAATGATGTATCCTCTATATGTTACTGACTTACTAATACTGGTATTTTCTTATTAATAACTTCCTCTTTCAATATTGGTAACCAGATCCTACTACATTCTGCCGAGGAATTTGCGACACAATTGGCCTCATTTAGCATAATTAAATCCTCATTTAGCATCCGTCTCTTTTAGGACTACATTTGAATTATTCCATCGAACCCTATGTTCATTATCCCATGCGTGTTTACATATTTGACCTCTATCAAATTCTCTATTTTTAATATAAGATTGATGTTTACTTATTCTAACATTTAATGGCCTTGATGTTTCACCTAAATAAAACTAATCGCATTCACAAGGTATTTTATAAATGCAATTCTTTGTCCTTTCTTGTTCATCGTTAGGTTTGGTTTTGGACAAAATAGATCTCAACGTGTTTGTTGTTTTGAATGTTGTTGAAATGTTGAATTTATTCCCTATCCTTTAAAGTTTTTCTGATAATCCTTTTATGTACGGTATTGTTATTTTCCTCGTATTATTCCTTGTGTATGCTGTAGGATCTCGTTCTAAGTTGTTCTGTTCTATTCGATCGATTGTTGAAAATTCCTTATTTATACATTATCAAGTTAGTTGATTTCATGTCATCGAATGAACTATCTTATAAGTAAAGTCGTCCCAAGAAGAGAGAATTGTAAGAAACCAATAGACTATGTATTTGTTAGATAAAGATACAAGAACGTAATTATATCCGCAAAAACCTATCCAAGTGCCGACATAGAATCAAATCACAACCCAGTAGTGACCAAAATTAGGCTCAAAATGAAAGTAATAAAACGAAGAACAACAAGTGCAAAAGTCGATACAAGTAAATTAAGGAACATAAGTTTTTCCATTAAAATACAAGCAAGGGACCAACTTAGATCTTTTAAATCCTAAATTACATAAATGCTTATTAATAGTTGTATTCCAACATTTAGGACTTTCTCGTAAACCATATAAAGCTTTTACCAACTTACATATTACACCAAGTTTAACCCTTGGGCCTTCCGGTAGCTCTAAAAACACGTTACTAGACACTGAACTTTTCAAAAAGAACTTTTCACATCAAGTTGATAAATATCAGCTATACAGCAATGGCTAACAGAACTCTCAGGGTGGTTAATATAGCTACTAGTGCATACACGTCTTCGTTGTCGTTGTTGGCTGTTGATAGCCTCTGGCCAACAATCGAGTTGTTTTCACCAACTGACCATCAACATTTTTCTCAACAAAAACCCATCGTGAATCAATGATTGCATCATCAGTCTTAGGTTCTACCAAAATAAAGGTACCGTTGTTTTCTAACACCAAAAGTTCTTTATCTATGTTTCAGCTTCAATATAGATTTTAGGTAATTCAGATGGTAGACAACCAGCAGCTAAAGCCATCATCATACTCACTTTATAGTCATCAAGATAAGAAGGCATACGTCTATTTCTTGAACTTCTAAGTATCTCGTGTTCTTGATTATTATCAGGTTGTATTACTTCAGGTTCAGTAATAGTTTGCTCATCCACACTTGTATGTCTCATCAAATGAACTGGAGATCCACTTTCACAAGTTTCATCAAATCTAACTGAACGAGATGTATGCAATTGCAATTCTAATGAATACAAGTTATCAATCAATTTTCCAGTAATAATTGCAGTATCACACCTCATGATACTGCATTTGGTTACCATTTAGGTAGTACGCATTTTCATCTTCTTGAATTTTACTTCATATATTCATTTTATGAGGAATTAAATTTTATAAAATATTAAACTACACACTTTCTATAATACTACACAAAAATTATTATAGACAGTTAATTAAAGAAACAAACAATTAAATACACCGCCTAAAGTCACGTATAAGAATGACCAAAAAGGTTAAAATTCATAATTAAAAAAGCAATAACCTTTAAACTTCATTCAATTCGTCGACCAAATCAGTCGTTTTCCTAACGGACATTCACGCCGGACCTGAACCTCATACATAGTAGCCTATTTCGGGTGTTATTAAAAACACTAACCTATGGGCACACCTATGGCACGTTTGTAACGGTACTAACGGTACCAAAAATAGTATATCCTACGCTCTGCGATGGCATTCTTTCGAAGATTCTTAACGAGATATTGATATGTTTTTATATTTTGTAGTATGTATTGTTGCGTAATGTTGTTAACGAAATAAATAATTCTATGGATTGTTGTTTCTTTAAATACTTAGATTATACTAAAATTATAATTAATACTGTTTTTTTCTCTTCATTTTGTATGACTGCTGACCTTACGGTCAATTTGGTTGATTTCATTTTTGGAAAAAATCCTTTCATAACCAGGTTTTTTCTAATTGTTTCTTAAATTTCTTTATAATATTTACCTTTTTTAACGTCTTTATCTTTTTTTCACCTTGCTTACCAAAGGTAATTAACAAGGTTGTTTATAAAAAGGTGAGTAAAAGAGTTATTTGAGTACAACATATGGTACTCAGTCCAGAAGATAAGTTGAAATATTGAGCGCCATAAATGGTACTCAGTATAACTTGCCGTGTACCTAAGCAGTCACTCGGCTTGTACATTTTATATCGAGAAATTAAAGTTTTGGTCTCAGAAAACCGTTCCATAATTCTAGCCCGTAGCTAGAAATGGTATTACACTTTTTTTTATGAAGGTCGTTTATCAAAGTGTAATAAAATCGCTTTTTTAGCTTAACACGTTCACTGCCAGTGTAAAATTGGAATGGCCCCTTGGGTGCCGTAAGCATTTTTTAGTAATGTAACTTCTTTTTTATAATAGTTTTTTAATTGAATAGTATATAGTTGATAATTGAGGTATAATTATCAAATTAACACTCTAAATTATCATTCTAAAACAAGGGTTTAAACATACCTGTCACTTTTTTTGAGTTTTACACACTCTACAGTATTTTCTTCTAGCCCGTTTATGGTCATTCGTCCGTTCAAATTTTGACGGCAAGTGGTGTGATTCATTTGCTTTTATTATTTTTTTGGGACAATTTTCAGTTTGGGCTCCCTCCAAAAGTTCCTCAATAATGGCCAAACGAAAATTATATAAATTTTTTCTTTGACCAGAATACGCATTAAATAAAAAATGAGAATTTATGACCATTACTTGAAAAAAGTGGACAAATATTTTTTTGTACCTCTGTAAGCTTTTACGCTCACATGGGTTGTAAGCCAACATTTGATCTTTACGATCTATACCCGATATATTTTTATTATATTGTGCAATAGCCTTAGACTTTTCTTTTAATACCTCTTCTGTTCGAAACCGTCACGAAATCACCAGAATACTCTGTAGTAATAAATGAAACATCCCTTTTATCACGACTTTTTCTTCTTTTTCTTGTTAAGCCTATCCGTTACGAATATTGCCGATCATCATGGCAATCTTCATCTTATCTGCAGCAGCGCGAAAAAACTGCATAGGTGTTGTATTGAACCAGATTTTGAGGTTCTTTAACCAAGATGTTCTTCTTCCTGGACCTCGTTTTCCAAATATTTTTCCTTGCAGGTTGGCTTGAAGTGGAGCATATTACGTCACTTTCCCGTAAAAACACCAGATTTGTTATTACACTTTAGAATTATTTCACCTCTCTTGAGTTTGGAACTTACAATTTTAGTAAAATTTCCTTTACGATTTAGTCGTAATATTCCTGTGCAATAAGTCTTCCGTTCGAGAAGGGCAACCGACAATATGTATCTGTAGAAATTAATAGTAGATAAAATAATTTATTTTAGATGTAGACATACAAATAAGATGTAAGCAGTGCACTAGTCTATGGGAAACTAGTTGGAAAATCGCACTATAGTTGGTGCACCACTCAAGTATTTTGAAAAATTTAATACTCGACGTTTCGGAACCTCTTTTGGAGCCGTATTCAAGAGATACGGTTGCGTTCGAGCTCGAGGTCTCAATCTGCCTACTTCCCTCACTCGTGACTTATCGATATCTTGTTTTGTATAAATACAAGAACCGTCAAACGACAATGAGATCTCAAACTGCCTACTCCTCATTGTCGAGTGATGACCGGTCTTACCTTGTGTAGCTGCGTCATCGTGTGTGTTTAAACTGTTAGGTCGTTTTTCAATTTCAATGGCTTCACGAATAATTCTCGATTTTAAGAGCGGATAGGAGCGATGGTTTTGGCTTTTTGGAATCTATTTTGTGGCCTGTTTCAATATGATATTGGGCTAGGGCCGAAGTAGTACCGAAATGTTTTACAGATATATAATGTTTATAACTACGGTTGTTAATTCGTCGGTTTGTCTGTCCTATGTATGTACTAGCCAACTGGAACAAGGTATCTCGTAGACACCATGGTCTTTATTGGGATTTGGTCTTTTACGGATCTGGCTATATATTTATACATTTCTCTTAATTCTATTATTTTAATGTCTGTTTTTATTGTTTCAGCTTTGGAAGATATTTATTCGAACTCATTCATATCCCCAAACTCAGCAAAATTCAATGCTGATGATGACCAACTGCCAGCTATTCGAACTTCTGAAGCAAAGGATATCTTCGAAGAGACATCTAGTGTTGCTAGATCGGCAATGAGGGACGCCCCTTTAGATAAAGAGAATCACCAAATTACTTCATCCGCTCATAGAGTTGCAAGATCTATGGACCACATTTTATCGAGTACAGCGGTTGCAGATGATTATAATTTATATAAAAATGTAGACGAAGCTTTAGAGAGTAACGATGTGGAATTGTCAGGAAGACTTGCTGGTTATATTCAACCTTCAAAAACGGTATGTATGCAAATTGTTTTGATATAATCGGTATTTTTATTATCCAAAGCGTTTGTTGGCGAAACATATTCAAATTAAATAGTGGGTTGCCAATTTTAGGAAAGCTTTCTCTTTTATTTCTTTGTTGATGGACTTGTTTACGTTTTTAATGTTTCGACATTTTTACGTTGTTCTTTGTATATAAAAATAAAGAGCATATTGAGAGCATCATAAGAGAGTAGGATAAAATTATAGAAATAGATATACTAATCTACCAACATGTACCAATAAACAACACTTTTTGCCGATGATCAGGTGATCATCCAAAATTGTGAAAGTGAACTACAACAACTATTAAAAAGATGAAAACTTTGGCGTTTGAGGGCAGATACCCAAAGAACAAAAATAATAATTGACGATCATTCACTAGAACAAGTGAGTAAAATTATTTTCACTTAAATTTAAATTAATAATAAAAAACCTAACCTTTAGTAATAAGAAGATCCAACGAGTAGAATGATACTACTAGTACATAAATTTTAGGCTATTAAAGTATTATGCATCTGAATGAGATGAGATTTGTAAAATCACCATCAATAAAGTCAGTTTCATATAAAAACTGATATGGAAGATTTTTTGAAATTTTATTTGTTTGAATTGCATCCACGGTACCAAATTGATTTCTTCATTTTTTTTCTGTGCACTAAATCTTTTTTCAGGACATCTTCATAATTTAAAATGTCTTCTTGTTAACTTCAAATACGCTAAGGTTCATTTTTTGTAAAATGCTTTAATAAAATTTGTCTAGTCATGTGACAACTCGATTTCCATGGCAGTATTTTTTGCTTTTTCAATGGATGCACGTATCGTATTGGTCTCTATATGGGTGTGCCTTGGCTCCATAAAGTAGTGGTCATATCAATTAATTAGTCTGTGTCCGTTAGCTCCTTAAAAATCCTGCAGAACATTGTAGCAAAAATGTTTCTTTTCTGCCCAGAAAATGAATCGCTGTAGAAATTCAGAGTATTAATGTCTTTTGAAGAAATATCCAAAACAAACATTCTTAAACAAGAAGCTATTTCTTGACGTCCACCTAATTTTCTTTAAGGTTTGTTTTATTATAATGACTTAAGGTGAAGACTTAATCGGTCACACTTCGCACTTGATGTATCCTTTTATTTGCAGGTTGATGAAAAGCAAGATTAAACTCTTCATTAAATATTTTTTTGTACTGAAATTCTTTGAGCGAAGCAACTTTCCTTTCTTTGCAGGTTTCAGTATAAAGTTTAGACATACTTGAAATATTCAAATCGGAGCTAAGATAATGCCTAGAAGATTCTTCACAGCAATAGTGGCTGGTATATGCTGTAAAACTTCTTGTGTGATCGCGAACAATATCTTTTAACTGTTCAGCAATTTCGGGTTGGATTTTGCATCTGGTGGACATACCTCACCATAGGCCCTTTTTTTCTCTACAGTCACTTTTATCTTTTTAATAGAAATGTCATAGGTGCTTAAGTACATGCTTTGACAAACTTCTGTTCGATGTTTGGTAGAATATTTTAAAAAATGTTTTCTAGAAAAAGATCTCTTGTTTCCCATATTTTTCGGTGCCAGCCTTTGCCGATTTTTGAGTTTTTCTTCCACACTTTCCGTTTGTTAAAGACACAAATTAGCATGTTGGAAGCAGTTACGTTAAAGTAAGTTCATGCTTTTTTGCTTTTTCATCTTGTTGATTGCTTTCATGCGTTTCATTAAGTTGTTCTTCAAGCAAACTCATTGAAGTTAACGGCGGAATATTATAAAAGAAATGAATCGACATTTTAAAACTATAACCATCTAACCGTTATACCTAGGTACAAAATATACAACAGTAAGATAATAAAACATTACTTTATTATTAAAGCAGTAGGTATTAAAGATTGCAACAATTTAGATAATTTAAGGATTATCTACCTTATTTTCAAAAACGACATCAGTATTGGGGCTACCTATTGCATCTTGTATATAATTTTTTGACTGATCCATCGACGAGTCCATCGCAATATTGTCAGATGTCTGAAATTGCATGTTTACATCTTGTGGGATCATTTCCACAATAACAACATCATTACTACAACTAGGCTGGGTAAAAGAAGTTGATATGGATTCTTCAGTAGAATGATCCATTTTTTATTTTACCTATTTTATTTTAGTACTTACTATTTTTGTTTCTATTTTTATCACCAACTTGTCAGAAGTTTTTAATTAAAGGCAAAAGAGTTTAAGTTCGACTTGAATGCATTTTTTGCTTTACTTGCAGTAAACTCACTAAAATAAAACAGAGAAGGACTTCACCGGTCATTACAACAACAAAAATTTTTTAAGGTTAGATATGTTTTGTAAAGGCTTATTTCCAATGATTTAATAATAAAAAGACCAAAGTCCAATGCTCACTGCATATTGGCCCTTTAGTTAAGTAGACTGAACAGTTCTATGTGCACTTTGGCCGTTTTAATTTAAACTGATTTGGAGATAAGAAATCGACAACCATTCATACAAAAAGATTTTTGTATTGAAAGTTTGGAATCTTATAAATTTTTGTGGTGATACGAACTCTATATATATATATATATATATATATATATATATAATATATATATTACTAAATTAAAAAAGGAGTTTCTCAAAGTGTTGATCTTCTTCAGCAGCAGACAGACGATGACCACGTTTAGTTCATGAATATTTATACTGACAAAAAGATACCCGATGAAGATGAATTACAAAACAATAATAAATAGAATAAATACAATACAATAATAAATAAAAAGAAGAGTTTAAGCAAATAAATTAACAATAATTATATTATAAATAACAAAGCAAAAACAATTTAAATAAAGTAAGTTTAAATAAAATCTTGAATTTTTAAGATATACAGATCGAGTAAAGGATATTGACATGTTTCTAAAGGTCGTTTTTTAATAATTAAAAATAAATTACCTAACTTAAAAATGTGCTTATTAAAATTATAAAATTTCGTCACACAAATGGAGCTGGTAACGAAGCACATGGGAAACTGTCTGGTCACGTTTTTAAATTATAAAATTATTCTATATTATACAGAATTTTCATAAACGCCATTCACAAAACAAAACTGTTATACTCTAGGACTTATTTTTTGTGTTTTGACATTGTAATGTAAATTTGTAATATAAAAAACAAATGTAATGTAAATTTTGCACGTTTCGTTTAGCGCAATGGACATAAAACGATAATTAATAAATTACTTACAGTGAAGTAATGATTCAGTAAATTTGTACTGTAAAGTGATACTAGTACTAAAGTTTTGGGAAAGTTCTGATTTTTTCATTCCATATGTGTTTTGGGGTGCTAAATCTGAATCTGAGGTTTGCGGACAAAATTTCGTGACGCAACATTTAAAAAACCAGAAGAAATCGGTTTTTTTTTGCTTTTTTTCCGGTTTTTTGCTTAAAACTCGAAAACTGTTAACTTTTAGTAAATGGTCTGTTTACAGAAATTAAAGTACTTAAAGTTCTGTACAAATGTCACTATTTTGGTTATTGTACAGACGAACCGTTCGGTCTCAAGTGCAAGTTGAAAATTGGCAATTGGTACCGGTGTGACTGCAAAACCCACTTTTTAGATTTGTATTAACGATACAAAATATGTCATCGACGGGGGTTTTTTTGTTACACCGGGTAAAATGGCGCCAAGGTCAGACATATGCAGCAGTTATGTATCATATGTCAAATCAAACTACAAATCAAGAGCTATTGTCGTTTTTAATGGCTACCCTGACGAGGCTTGTGGTAGCACCAAGCGTTTAGAACGATTGAGAAGTGCACAAAGAAAACAATCTGCTGCAATATCATTTACAAAAATGATGGTGCCCACTGTGTCGCAGGATAGTTTTCTTGCAAACCCAAAAAACAAGAGCCGGTTTATATCTATGTTAATGGAGAAACTTCATGATGCAAAAATTCATTCAAAGCAAGCTGTGGAAAAGGCTGATATCCTAATTATCACAACAGCTCTTGAGATGACCCCGTCAAATGAACATGTGAGAGTGGTGGGGGAAGATATCGACCTACTGGTCATTTTGATTGGCCTTTGTAGCCCTGATATACAAAATGTATTTTTTTTGAAGCCAGAAATACGAAAGGTTTCGCAAAGCCTCTACAACCCTTATCTGCCTGCTGAGAAAATCCTTTTGAATCATATTTTATTCCTGCATGCGATGAGTGGTTGTGATACTACTTCTGCATTGTTTAATCAAGGGAAACTGAAATTTCTTAAAGTCCTGCAGAAGAACAAAGATTTGCAATCGGTAATTGAAGCTTTCAAAGACCCTAATTCAAGTCAAGATGAGATTGCCACAACAGGAAACATGTTTCTCACGGCTCTATATGGGAAAAAAAGAGACAAAACTAAACGATTTAAGATATAAACAATACGTATCTTCATCATTCAAAAATAAGACCAACATTTCCTCATTGCCCCCAACTGAGGCTGCTGCACGAGAACATTTACTGCACCAAACTCAATACTCGGTATATTTCATGTAAATGTGAAAAGGGCTGTCAACGCAATTGTGGATGCAGGAAGGAGGGACTCCATTGTTCCCCAATATGTGCATCATGCGAAGGACTGTGTAACAATGTTGAGCCCCTAGAAGACAGCTCTGACATAGACGTACAAGAAACTGAGGAAAGAGAGAGAGGTATGTTGGATCTGACAAGTTATTTTGTAGTCATTCATCTCTCCTTGATATATGATATGTGTCTCTCCTCTTTTTCTTTTCCAGGAGAACGACTCCCGACGCTGACGATGGAGCAATCACACCCTGAGCCAGGACCCGATGCCATCGAAGAACCTCTGTACGATGCGGAAGGTATGTTTAATCTCACAATCTATTTTGCAATCTTCATCTCTTCTTGACAAATGACTTAACTGTAAACTTTTATTTTCCAGAACAACCAGAACCAGGACTCATCGTTATCGAAGAACCTCAGCCAGGGCCTTCCAAAAGACAACGGCTCATATAAATTTTGCATACTATAATTTATAATTATAATAATATATGATCATAAGTAACGAGATTTTAAGTTTTATTTTGTTACGACTTCTACCTACCTACTGAATTTGCATAATTTTTGCCTTTTTTCTTTTTAATTACTTGTGCGGAAAACCAGGTGACATTTATCAAATAACAGCATCCATAAAAATTAAATATTGAAATGTAAAAAGTGGGTTTTGCAAAAACTGCTAAAAATTTACAATTTTCAACTCGCACTAAAAGCCGAACGATTCGTCTGAAAAAAAACTAAATACTGGTATTTGTAGAAAATTTCAAGTACTTTAATTTCTGTAAACAGACCATTTACCAAAAGTTGATAGTTTTCGAGTTTTAAGCAAAAAACCCGAAAAAAGAAGAAAAAAACGGTTTATTCTGTTTTTTTTAATGTTGCGTCACGAAATTTTGTCCGCAAACCTCAGATTCGGATTAAGCACCCCAAAAAACATATGGAATGAAAAAATTAGAACTACCCCAAAACCTTCTTGGCAAAAATACAATTTAACTGAACTACGTAAATTGTATTCGAAACTGTTTTTCTTCCTTTTTGGTAATGGTTTCCAGTTAGCAGTAATAGTCAAGCTGTCACCATTTTTTAAGTTTAGATGATAGTTCAATACATTTAACACCACACGTTTTACTAGCAACAAGTCATACCTTGCTTGAAATTCACGACACATACTGACAACGGCTACATGATGTAGGTACTTTCATCCGCTTGCGAAAATGAAATAGAACTGAGCTTTAATAGTTTTTTCCAACAAGTTTTTGTTCTGATGGCCAATACCCATTAGAATGGTTGGAAGTCTTTGTTGATTATATGGCAAACTAACCTTTTATCTCAAAGAATTCTCTACTGGCTTCTTTTATTCTTAAGATTTACGACTGTGATCTGCCCACCTTTTGCTCGTACTCTCAGTTGCTCTACATATGCGTGCCATCTCCTCTGCTTGTCAACGACTGTCGCACACACAATCGCCTCAACAGAATCTCCAAAAGCTCCTGGACCAAATTCCTATCTCACAGGAACCCAATTTCTTTCTAGTCGAAAAGATTTTCACAAATATATTATACATCAGTTTGTTTATTACATGATGTACTTATGTTGTCCACTGCTACCAATCCTTGGGGCTTATTCCATAGACACAAACCAACTTTCACAATTATTATTTGACAGGAACTCTGCTAACTTTCACTGCAGGATATAGAACAAAAACAACTTACTTCTTCTGACGTGTAAATCACAGTATTCTTCCTTTTCCCGGGCAAAATCTGACTTCCTTCACTTCAATACCTCCTTCTCCTTTTCACCGATCAGACACACACATCGTACATATCACGCCATCACTTTCAACCAATCAAATTCTATGATTTGTCAAACACAAGCTCAATGCATTATGATATCACAAAACGTCGGTATTCCCAAATTTTACATAAATAAGATCTTTTCTTTGTTTTGAAGTTTCTACAGACAATACAGCTAATACTTTTTCGATTATTTGTCCAATGTCTTTGTAATAAAAGACTTAAACCATATATTGCTAAAATTCCTATCTTTGAGCTATTAACATTAATCGTTTATGAGAGTTCCTCTATTGTTTTCATATATCAACGTACAAATATCTATTCTCCTATCTGCCTACTTTCTACTAAATTAGAAAAAATATTACTCATTAAAATATTTGAATCTTACAAATCTAATATTCCTATTTATAGGGTGAAACGACTTTACCGGTCAGCGAATTTAATTTTTTATTCCAGTTTAATAAATTTAAACTATAACAATACCTTTACGTTTTTTATTTTTGCTGTTTTTATAGGAAAAGGATTCTGTTGCAACAGACAGTTACAAAAAAACCGAAGAATTGTCGGGGGAATTAATAGGGACTCCGCACCAGGCACGGTCACTGCCTCTGCAGGAGTCCCAGCAAGTCAAACACAGTGCCGCGATGACATCGACGACGGCTTTTGCTACCCGATCCCTTCTTCCACCCAGCCAGGCACGACAGGCCAACCCTGATATCCAGGATATCATTACTGGGATTGTCAAACTGCTTAACGGTAAGTTTCATTAACTATTTTAAAGAATGTTTCAGCTGTTCTTTTTTATCCAAGTTAGGAATAAACAAATTACTTCACTTCTAAATGAAAATGTTATTTACCAAGTAGTATGCATAGATTTCCAAGTTTATAATATATTGATTATAGAAAAACAATAAATCATTTCAGTTATACCACTTCAATCTGTTCAATTTCGTCTGAATTTGTGCGTTGGAATTGGTGCTTTTATTAAGTAATGTGTCTGTTGAGTATTAAAATGCCAAATATTATGTAAATTATACAGTTTGTGTCATTATTTTTATAGAAAACCTTTTATTGTATACGAATGAAACTATCACCTCTACCAAAAATATAACTATATAGCTTAAAACTCTATATAGCACATTTTCTCTTTCTTTCGCTTACGTTTTTAATTGTTTTTTGTGTTCTTAATGTGCCATACCCAATTTTAAGCGTAGGAAACTTCTTTGCATATTTTTGCGATGTGTAGAATTAAGTATACACAGTTATATCCTATTTCTGCAGCTTTAAACCTATTCCAGTGAAACCACTTCCTTACATTGCGCAGTAGTCTTTTGGATCTGAACTGAAGATTCTGTAACAAACGTCAGCTTGGCTGATTGTTATTTGGTACCAGCACTTGTTTATTTACTTCTTGGTATTATCGAAAAATTAAACTGTATGGGGATGTATTACTTGAAAAAATTAAACAACTTTTCAATATCTGCCTTCACAGCGCCAATATTCCAACAGACTGGAACAACGCTACTATGATTCTATTACACAAAGCAGGAGACAAAGCAAATTTAGAGAATTACAGACCGATTAGCCTCCTCAGCCATATATATATATATATATATATATATATATATATATATATAAGTTGTTTACGCGAATACTAGTTAAGAGAATGGAAAGAAAATTAGAGACTTATCAACCAAGGGAACAGGCAGGATTCCGAAAAAGTTACGGAAAAAATGACCATCTACAAAGAATAAAAACCCTAATAGAGAAAGCTGTGGAATACAATAAACCTCTAGTTCTAATATTTATCGATTTTCACAAAGCCTTTGACACAGTTGAGCTAAGCAAAATATTACAGGCGCTTAAAGAATGCAGGCTAGATTATAGATATACTAAATTATTATACAAAATATACCTGCAGGCAACAACCACTGTCAGATTACATACTAACAGCAATCGCCTAAAAATAGAACGGGGGGTTAGACAAGGAGACCCAATGTCACCTAAACTTTTTAATACGGTGCTAGAACATGCTTTTAAGAATTTGGATTGGATGACAAAGGGAATAAAAATAGATGGAAAATATCTAAACAACTTACGTTTCGCCGATGATATACTTATAATAGCTGAAGATCTAAGTATGGCAAGAGAGATGGTACAGGAACCCGTTGTGGCTACAGAAAATGTAGGTTTAAATATAAATATCTCGAAAACAAAAATCATGACCAATTTGGTACCCAACCAGAACATCAGGATTGGTGGAAAAGAAATAAAACTCGTAGATAGATATAAATACCTGGGACATGAAATTATTATTATAGGGATAACCAGACTCATGGACTGAAGAGAAGAATCGGCCTTGGGTGGGCAGCATTTGGAAAACTGAGAGAAACTTTTAAAAGTAAGCTGCCACATGCCTAAAGAGAAAGGTGTTTGATCAGTGCGTTCTTCCAATCTTGACGTACGGAGCAGAAACACTTACCTTAACAAAAGCAGCAGCTACCAAACGAGAGTCACGCAGAGAAGAATGGAGCGGTCCATGTTAGGAATAACTCTGCGAGACAGAATAACCAACAAAGACATCAGGAGAAGAACCGGAGTGACTGACATCATCGAGAAGATAGCCAGACTAAAATGAAGATGGGCAGAACACATATCCAGAATGACAGATTGGCGATGGGCAAAGAGGTTATTGGAATGGAGGCCAAGGGAAGACAAGTGAATCGTCGGTCGACCACCTAGATGGACTGACGATTTAAAAAGACTCAATAAAAACTGGATAAGAGCGGCGCAAGCTAGACGGGGTTGGAAACATGAGGAAGAGGCCTATGTTCAGCAGTGGACTCTTGAGGCTGGATGATGAAACTGTATGGATCATTGAAAGATCAAACACTTTCATCTTTATCATCATGGCAATTCTGACCTTGGAGGCCACTGCTCGGAACAATTAAATATAAGTCCAAGGGAACAATTTCCTAAGGTTTCGCAACCAAGACATTCTTCTTTTTCCTATGATGCGCTTGCCTTCAATATCTCCTTCCATAATCTCTTGTAATATGTGATATTTATCTCCGAGTGTAACATGTCCAAGGTATTGTAATTTGATGGATTCGACCGTTACTTGATGGAAATTCATTTTATGTAACAATAAAACACTGAAAACTTTGTTTTCAAACTTCCACAAAATGTATTTTAAATATTATCACTACAGCTGTTTCGGCTGATTGCCTTTCTCAAGTGATCTATTTTGGCTTGGGTTTACAAATTTATAGTCTCTAATGAAATAGGTTGAGGAGGGGAGAACTGTTTGTCTCAAGTTGGTCATTCAGAATTATATCTGTGTTTTTTAATTTGTTGATTTCCATAGATTCTAACAAAGATAGCTTAAGGCCTTTATTTTGAATGTGAAGAATTTTTAATTTGTCATTAAAAGAATGATTATGATCTAGAAGGTGAAGTGCGTATGTCGAATCTGTTTTTCTATTCTTGAAAGCCCTTTTATGTTCTGCTATTCGTTTATCAAAGTTTCTACCAGTTTGACCGATGTAAGTTTTTGGGCAGTCGCCACATTCAAGTTTGTACACACCACTATTTAAGTGTTTTTTATTTTGGCTCTTGTTATTTTTAATATATTTGCCTAGGTTGTTCGGAAAGCTGGTGTTATTCCTTTCTTTTTTATGTGTTTGGCAATTTTTGTTGTTATTTTGCCTGTATATGTAATCGAGCAGAAGGTACTGAGTTTTTTGTCTGGTGGTGGAAATACTAATTTCAGGGCTTTCTTGTGTAGTTTTTGATTTAACATTTTATTAATTGTTTGTTCGTTGTATCCGTTGTTTACTGCTATCTGCTTAATTATATTTAATTCTGTCTCAAAGTTGTATTTTGACATCGGAATTTCTAAACCCAAGCCAAAATAGATCACTTGAGAATAGCAATCAGCCGAAACAGCTGTAGTGATAATATTTAAAATAAATTTTGTGGAAGTTTGAAAACAAAGTTTTCAGTGTTGTATTGTAATTTTCTTATTTTAATAATCGATATGTCCTCTTTTTCATTATTCATCCTGTTCATCATTCCTGTTGAAAAACATGGACGGTCTTAACTTAGAAAGATCACGATCACGAAATTGCATCAATCATTTTAAGGACACTTAAAACGATGTTTTGTATTAAATTATTTTTCTTGATATTGATATTTCCAATGATATTGTTTTATAATTCAAAGATTATGTTTTTATTGTTTATAGGTAATGTAAATGTCCAAGCAAATACTGGCCCGGGTATTGGCAGACCATTAAGGCCTCTATCTACAAGAATTAACAATCGAGGTCCTCCTAGAATTACAGATATGCCGGCGCTTCCTCCAGATTTTGATGTACCAGCTCCGCTACCTCCACCACCTCTTGGTAAATAGACTAGTTAAAAATACTATACATACTTACTACACATACCACTACTATACTTACTACAATTACTTACTACGATTAATACTACATCCCGTGTATCTTATGCAAAACATTTATATTCACCCTGATCTGTTGCTACAAATATATGATACTATTTTTAATACCAAGTCAACTGAAATCTCCTCAAAGTAAATCAACAAATTATGACGAAATTTTGGAATTTAAGGAATAACGATCATATCAAAGTAAAACGGGTATCAGTTTAGCATTTCTAGATACCCTAGAAGATAGCACCTCTGTAACACGCCTTCCCAAGAAATATAGCGTAGATACTGGAGAATTGCAAGCAATCTCAAACGCCCTGAACTAATATACCAGCAACGATATAAACTTTCTTATTATATCAGATTCTCTGAGTGCCTTAAAAATGGCATCAAACAGATGTATCCTACTCATGCCCATTTAGCACAAATAAAAGACATGCTATGCAATGCTCAAATACGTAGCAGAAACATAACATTCTTATGGGTAAAACCCCTTATGGGTATTGGATTTTACCATCCCATGTTGGCATAAGGGGTAATGAAGTAGCTGATAAAGCAGCAACAGAAACTGTCAATGACACGACAATCCCTATAATGCAAAACATACCAGTTTCAGACTAAAAATCATTAATAAAAACCTACATTAACAAAACTTGGCAAGTAAAATGGTTCCAACCTGAAGCAATACTATAAATTATCAAAATATGTCACTTCTGCTTGACTACCGTTCCCAGCGCAAAGGCTTGACCAAGTAGTCGTCACAGTCGTGGACAGACTGCGGCTGGTCATTTACACAAGAATACATTATTTTTATATATACAATGAGAGACATTTTTAAAACAAATATCCCAATTCACCTGAAAAGGAAGGCATTTAACCAATGCATCTTACCAGTCTTGACCTACGGAGCAGAGACCCCAACTTTAACGAAAGCTACTGCCGAAAAACTGAGGGTAACACAAAGGCGAATGAAGAGATCAATGCTGGGCCTGACCTTGAAAGATCGCGTGAGAAATGAGGAGATACGCCGGCGAACTGACCTAGACGATATTATACTGCGAATCAATAAACAAAAGTGGAGGTGGGCTGGACATGTTGCTAGAATGGAAGACGGAAGATGGACGAAGAGATTATTGGAGTGGAGACCAAGAGCCGACAAGCGAAGTCGAGGCAGACCACCCACCCGATGGACCGACGACCTAAGGAGAATAGAAACAAATTAGATTGCAGAAGCTAGAGATCACAATTTTTACAAAAAAATTGTGAATTATATATACTTATATTCTCTATTTTAAGTTTAAAATATGTTTATTTATATTTGGTGTCATGTTTTTGCCTACAGGTCAAAAACCACCGCCAATGTCTACAACTCGACTACCTACACCATATCCTTTTGACGTACCTAAGCCTAATATGTCCCCAATTCGTCCGTTTACCGGCAGTGGTACCAGCATTCCAATTTCAGACCTATCAATGAACAAACGACCTGGTCTGTACCGTCCACCAACTGTTCCTCCCTGGAAGCGACGTAGGCCACCTAATAAGAGAAGACCACCGATACCTCCATATAAACCTATGCCGCCGTTTTCCACGGAAATGATTAGTCTGACTTCGGAGAAGCCTGCTGAGGACATCTTAACTTTGGATTTGGGATCTCATCTTTCTCCGAGTGGTGACGACAACGAATACTATCCTGAAGAATTAGAAGATAAAGGAAATTCAACAGATTTTCCGGAAGTAGAGACTGATGTTGTTCCTGACACAAGTGAAATTGACAAGGAAATAGCTGATTTTGAAAAGAATAAAGAAAAAGTTAAGAATGTAAGTACTCCTAGATAAATAAATAACTGTATTAATTGGCATAAATAAAATGGATCGTGGTATTCATTACATTAATTTCAAAAAACTATGTTTTAGGTAACGAAATTAGACAAGTATACTAGCAAAACCACCATTGTAACCCCTACAGTTAATTCTGAGGCAAAAACCGAAGACAGTGCTCAAAAAACAGAAATCCAACAACCAGAGATCAATACTTCTTCAACTACAATAGAAACATCGTCTTCCACTTTGTCTGACACAGTACAATCTTTAATAGAACCAACCAGTACTTTGGTTGCACCTTTACCAACGGAAACTGTAGAAGAAACCACACTAAAATCTAATTCTAATACCAGCGTACTCAATACTGATAATGCTGAAGATACTGCATTAGAATCTTCAATGAGCGAGATCGTAGACTCAACTAGAGATATTTTAGGAGAAAGCAGTACGTTGGCTAATACAGCAACCGAAACTTTACCAATAGTAACAACGATAACTTCTAGTACTTCAAATGTTGTTATAGTGGGTGCTTCAGCTACACCTGGTAAGATTCTAGCAAGTTTCAATACATTAATTCATCCGGTGATCTATTTGTTTAAATACAGTGCATAAATATTTCTTCTTCTTCTTTAGGTACCATCTTCTCTAAGGAGATTGGTAATCATAACAGCTATTTTCACTTTTGAGATTGCAGCTCTGAACAAGTCAACGGAACTGCAATTATACCACTTTCTCAGATTGTTGAGCCAGGAGATGCGTCTTCTTCCAATACTTCGTATTTCCCTGCATTATGGTTTGTAGCAATACATATTTATCCCCTCTCATAACGTGGCCGAGATACTGTAACTTTCTTATCTTAATCGTATTCATGATTTCCATTTCCTTTGTCATCTTTCTGAGGACTTCAACATTTGTTATTCGGTGTACCCAACTTATTTTTAATATTCTTCGGTAGGTCCACATCTTGAATGCTTCAAGTCGATCGCTCACCTCTTTCTTTAAGGTCCAGGCCTCCACCCCATACAGCAGCACCGAAAACATATAAGAACTTAATATTCTTATTTTGAGTTGTAAACTAAGGTCTCTACTGCATAATACTTTTCTCATCTTATTCAATGTTGCTCTAGCTTGTCCAATTCTCATTTTTATTTCTTCTGTATACTCGTTATTTTCATTAATAATTGTACCAAGATATCTGTATTTTTTTACTTTTTCTATTGGAACTCCTCTTATGTTTAAACTGTCTTGTTGTTGTGTTTTGGAAATTGTCATAAATTTTGTTTTATTAGCATTAAGCGTTAGTCCGCTTTCCTCACTAGCATTTACTACATTATCTAGAAGTGTCTGTAGATCTTGTATATTCTCTGCAATTAGTATAGTATCATCGACATATCTGATATTGTTGATGGGTCTGCCGTTGACTTTTATTCCAATTGTTACATTTTCGAGTGATTTTTTAATTATTTCTTCCGAATATAGATTGAACAATAAGGGGGAGAGTATGCAACCTTGTCTTACGCCTCTTTTTATCTCTACGTCCTCTGAAAGTTCTCTGTCGACTCTGACTTTTGCTGTTTGGTTAAAGTAGAGATGAGTTATTATTCTTAAGCCTTTTTTGTCAATGTGTTTCTCTTTAAGTAACTGTATAAGACGGTTGTGTCACACCTTATCGAATGCCTTATTATAATCAATAAAACAAACATAGAGTGGTTGGTTTACATCCATACATCTTTGCATGAGGACGTTAAATCCAAATAATGCCTCTCGTGTACCCATGACATTCCTAAATCCAAATTGGGTTTCAGTGATGTCTTGTTAAACTTTTTTGAAAATTCTTAAATGGATAATTTTTAAGAATATTTTTAGTGTGTGATTCCTTAGACTAATTATACGGTGATCATTACATTCCCTTGCATTAGGTTTTTTTGGTAATTTAATAAATGTTGATTTGAGCCAATCTCTCGGAATAATACCCGTATTATATATAGTATAGCATAAATATTATGATATTTTTTGTTCGAATGTAAAACAATTCTTTCAAAATTCTTGGTGCCTTATTTATCTCTGTATAGTATCTCTGTAAGTTGTATCTGTAGCTGAATATCTACCTTTACGTCTCTTAATACGTCTGATATCTCTGACGAGATTTTTTTCAAGCTAACTGTTTGGGTTTTTGTTTCATCTGCTCACAACACTATGCATCACTGATTAAGTGATACATTGGTATCTCCAAAGACGTGAAAATAAGATCTGCTAACAGAGCTTTTTTGTAGTTCCCCCAATTTGTTAGTATCCAGTGCCCATTTCTGACTGTTTCATTCCAGTTTTTATCCAGATGTTATTAATAAATCAATTCTTTACCGATTTTTTTCTACTAATTTAAAGTTGTTACCGAACGATACTACCAATTTAATGTTAAATATTTTTATGTAAAACATGTGTCGACCAAATTAAAGATTAGGACGTGTTTTCATACTTATCCTAAACACATGTTTGATTTGTAAAATACTATGTTACTTAGTACCATTTTTATTATAGCGTCTACTGTGAACAATCAGTCTACATCATCTTCTGGTTTTCCCTACTATCCGTACAGACCGAGACCAGGTATCGTTTTAGACGATACGGAATACAAGCCAGGTGGAATTAATCGACAGCCTATAATCACCAGGCCACCTATTGGACAAATCGGCGACATTTTTGATGTCACTGTTTCAGCTATTCAAGGACCGGGCTCATCCGCTGGAGGAGGTCAAGGAAAGCCCTATGTAATACCAGGTAAGAAAATAGTATATTAATAAGTAGAGCAAATATTAATATTTAAAAAAATAGATAAAATAAATAAATATATTACACGTGCACTATAAGTATACTATTTTTACTATTTGCTGATCAAACCGGTAATAATATAAACTCCATATTCAATGGGATAGTTAGATCATTCTTGCTTTATAATCCTGCCTGGGTTCTAGCCTCCTCAAGAATTTTCTCTCCAGTCGTCTCTATTAATCGCCTTTTTGCACCAAGCACGTATTCCCATATTTCTCATGTCTCCTTCGATGTTATCAAGGTACCTTGTTCTGGGTCTTTCTATTCTTCTCTGACCAATATCTATCAAGTGGCGTTTTTCTAGCTGGGTCATTTTGTTCTATCCGCATTACATGCCTTATCCACCTCAGACATCCTATCTTAATATGTTTTACGATATCAGTATATTCTATAAAGTTCGAAGTTGTATCGTCTGCTTCACACACCATTGTCATTCATTGCTCCATAAATTTGCCTTAGTACTTTTCTTTCGAAACATCCTAACATGTTTTCATTATTTTTTGTTAGAGTCAAGTTCTCTGAACCATATGTTGGAACTGGGCGTATTATTGTTTTGTAGAGTTTTATTTTTGTATTTCTTGATATAGTTGTGGATTTAAGGAGGAGATTGTGCTCAAAATAGCATTTGTTATACGTGCAAATTTAGCGGTTTATCTTTGCGGTAGTAATACTTTCAGTGTTATGAAGTCGGGGAGGGACTTCGTCAAGGCTATTCAGCTGCGCGGAAATCTCCTGCCAACGAGAAGCATCCCTTCAAACCCATTACATGAAAGACGGTGCCGAAAGGGATGCGAACGTAATAAGAGCCTTTCACACGTTCTGCAAAAGTGCCCCGCAACACACTGGCATCGCATTAAGAGACACAATCAGCTCGTTACCTTGTCGCACATCTGGGTGAGCAGGTAATTTTCGTGGACGTTGCCGTCAGCTGGGAGGGTCCTGAACCCCTTAGTACAGAACGGAACGGGGAGGAACAGACCATTAGGACGAGGCCGGTTTTCGAATGACTGGGCCTACGCCGGGCGATGTCCGGCTCTGTCATCATAAAGAGTGTCATCATAAAGAGGATATGGCTCTGTTCTGATAGTACTCCCAGGTATACAAATTCGTTCAATGCTTCGATAATATCATTTTCTATAACAAGTTGGCGTAGGATTTGTGGTTGCATGCTTATTTTCATTACTTTGTTATTACTTTGTTTTGTTGGTGTTTATTTTTAAACCTATTTTTATAGCTGATTATTTTAATGCTACATACACCTCTCGTACAGCGTTTTCCGTTCTCCCAATAATATTGATATCATCAGCATAGGCCAGGATTTGCACCGATTTATTATGTATTGGACCGGTGATTATAAATACATACGTATTACTTTTTCCAGAGCCAGATTGAAGAGTATACAGGAGAGAGAGTCTTCCTGGCGCAGCCCGTTATTTGTTTTAAAAGGTTCAGTCAGTTCCCCCTTAATTCGTCCTCTACATTCAACTTTTTCAAGACTTAGTTTTGTTAAATTTACCAACTTATTTGGTATTCCTAGTTCTTTCATTGTTTTGAACATTTCTCTTCTATTCACAGCCTGGTTTTTTTCTTAATATCCGTTCTGCATATGGTGTCATACTGTCACATAGTACTGTGGAAAATATTTTATATGCTTAATTTAGAAGCGTAATTCCTCTGTGGTTAGAGCATTCAAAGATATCTCCTTTTTTGTGTATGGTGCAAAGTATTCCAATCATTAGGGAGGGATTTCTGTGTCCATATTTCTTTTACAAGCTGCTGTAATGCCATTATAGTATCATGGACACCTTCCTTATATAGTTCAGCTGGGAGATTATCTCTTCAGTGTGATGTGTTTCTGGCTAGTTTTTAACAGGATCTTGGAATAGTTAGGTTATCATTTTAGAAGCATTGATTGCGGAAGGGTTTGCGATGAGAGACCAGTGCACTTCAATGGCAGCATGTTATGTTATACTAACCAGGGACATCATTGTAAGAACTTATCTATGAGAAAAATTATTTTTTAGTTATTTTAGAATTTTTAATGGCATACTTGCAATACTAAAGGTATCAGGTGGCCATTTTCTTATTAATTGATGTTTGATTGTAGCTTTCAATGATTAAGAGTAACAGACACAAAGACACAATTTTATATTCCTAATTTATCCTTTGACATCAGACTTCTTTGAACTAATATATTTAAATAATTCACATTCAACAGAAAATACCCACTGTTTGACAACAAAAAGATATATTTATTAGAAACGTACAATATCCTATTCACGCAGGATGAAGAATCTCATATATTAGGATCTACATCGTCCTAAATTATTATTTTAAAATACATATTTGTGTTGACTTCCTCCCATACGCATAAAAATTCAATTCACCATCACTATCATCCGCATCAGAAATCACCTGGAATCCTCATATTCCGGGTATTTCCTGACCCGGGAAACTAGTACCTAAGAATCCCTTGTCGAGGGGTCACAAATGATGTCCACAACGACATCCTTGGCGGAGAAGAAAGTCTTCACAACGGTTTGGAGGATGAAACAACTGTCAGCCCTCTGATTTTAGCACGGGTATAAAATCAAACCTTTTTCAGTATTTGTTTTGAGATGAAGTCATGTAGGCCCGAACGATCTATACATAATAGTACCCGGTCCAGTGACCGGGTATTACCACAACCACCTAAACAGTGTACATATATACAGCGGTGTATGTAGAAAGCCAAGGGAATGACTATTACACTGTTTTCTCAGAAATAACATGATGGCCGACGAACTAAATGATGGCCTTGAACGCTGGTGAAGAATGAAGAATGAATAAGAGAACGACTTAATACTAAAGTAGTACTACAATGGATATAATTGTATTAATTGTATCACATAAAATCATATCATATTAGCCAGCCCTTTGTGTCCACTACTGGACATAGGCCTCCCTCATTTTTGTCCATTGTGCTCCATCTTGTGCTCTTGGTAATTAGGGAAATTACCAAGAAAAAAAATTTTTCTCTGATCTAATTGCAGCGTTTTAGAACTTGTAGCTGTCAATGTCAAAGTTTTGGAACCATAGGTCATCACAGGCAACACACATTGGTCAAATGTTTTACGTTTTTAAAGAAATTGGTATATCGATTTTAAAGATGTCTTTGAGTTGTCCATATGCTGCCCATGCTAGATTTATTCTTCTTTGTAGTTTGCATGTTTGGTTGTATCTTGTGATCTTTATTTCTTGTCCAAGATATATGTATTTTTCCAACAGCTCTACTTCGTTGTCTTCAACATTGATATTTCCGCTAGGTACCAGGTTTGTCATGAATTTTGTTTTGGAGATGTTTATTTTTAAGACAGCATTGTACATATCCCCTTGAGGTTGTCCGAGAACAAAACTATGTCGTCTGCGAATTTCAAATTTGTTAATCTTCTACCATCAATGTTCAGGCCTTTCTCTCCCCAATTAAGTTGTTTAAAAGCACATTTTAGTACTACGGTAAACAGTTTAGGCGATAAGGTATCACCCTGTCGGACTCCTTTGCCGATTGGGATATGATCCGTGTTTTCATGTAGTTTTACCAACATAGTTGCGTTCTTGTATGTATTATAAATTAACCTTTTATATCAGTATGGCATACAAAATCCAGAACAAGTGGTCGATTATATTCGATAGGTGATCATTTGTTCCAAATATGGTACGAAACCCCGCTTGCTCTATTGGCTGATAGAAATCAAGTTTTTTCTCAAGACGATTTGTTACTATTTTTTTAATGAGTTTGTATAGGTTACTAAGAAGACTTATAGGTTTGTAGTTTTCTAATTCATGGGGATCTTCTTCTTTGTACAATAGAATTACCTCAGTATTGTGCCATTTGTCGGCTATATTACTGTTCAAAAGGCAAATGTTAAAAAGGTTTTTTATTTTCTTAAGTAGGCAAGTGCTTCCGATTTTGATTGCATCAGTAACTACACAATCTGGAGATTTGTTATTCTTAGCTTTTCTTAGGGCTAGTTTTATTTCGTCTATTGTGATTTTCGGTAATAGTTCTGATCATAGGTTGATAATAAGCTTTTTTTGTTAATATTTCCGTTACTTGATCTTCTTTTCTGTTTGCTTTGTGTTGGCTTGTGTATAGCAATTTGTAGAAGTTTTCAACTATTTTGTAGGATTCCTCTCTGTTGGTTTTAAGATGACAATTTTCATTTTGATCTTTATTATCTGCCTTGTCCCCGTCCTTAGTCTTTTCCCCAATACTTTCATACTTCTATTGTTCTCAATGGTATGTTGGATTTGTTCTTGGTTGTTTTTTCGAGTGTCCTGCCTAACTGCTTTGGATATTTCTTTATTTAATTGTTGTGGTTCGTCGGCTTTAGTTTCCGTCTCGCTTCTCATTTTTTTTCTTTTCTGCATTAGATGCCTGGTATTTTGGCTAATCTTCTCTTCTTTTTGAGTTCTAGGACAGAATTTGAGTTGACTTTCCAGTAAGGCATTTGTTAATTTATTATTTAAGTCGTTTATATTATTTTCTGTTTCAGGCCTACTAAGTATGTCAGAAATACATTGCTGAAACCTATCTACACATGATGGTTTCATCCATGGTTTTGATATGTTCTTTCTTAATCATCTTATACTAACCTTCTTTTACATAAAGTACTTAAAATTTAATTTTGACTAATGCATTGTAAATTCAAATTTTATTTTTGTCCTTAGTGGAAATTGAAAACGTTCATTCAGGTGACGTAATCACATCCTCGTCCGGATCAGAGGGCTTCGTCAGCATTGATGGTAAACGAACATACCTAAATCTATTCGGGGAATCAACATCCACTGGATTGCCAATTAAACCAACAGCTACTGTACCAGAAAGCAATCAAGTCACCGGTACGGGATACGCTGTAGCTGAAAACGAGAAAGTTCATAGACCAGGATCTGTGGGTAAGCCCACACAGAGACGACCGATGTTTGGAAGACCAAGACCTAGCCAACCGCCTGTAAGGTAAGTGGTTTTACGAATTTGTAATGTTCTATACTAATTTTTAGGTTTAAATCACATTTAGAACGAGAAATTTTAAGATTAGTGAAAATCAGGAGCCTATTTTAACTATTACATAGATGTTACAAATATTATTTATATTTGTCTTCCTGTTATAGGATCGACACTTGCATTGTCGGAGATGACTCCACCTGTGATGGCTCGCAACACGAAATTTGTCGAACGGAATCAGGTGTAAGCGCCTGCCACTGCAGACCTGGTACTGCTAGACGTAAGCACAGAGATCCTTGTCGCAAAATTGTGTCTATATTGGTGTCGCTTAGAGTTGACAGATTATATGACCGAAAAGTTGTGTGGGCAAGTGAATTGGGTGATCGAAGCAGTGATAGCTACCAGCAGTTGTCTTTCGAAGCGGAAAGAGCTGTAAGTATCATAAACCTTAAAGGTAAAAACTAATTTATAAGTTAATACCAATAATTATATTCGAATGTAGTACTTCTAAAACATCGTTATTAACTCACTTCTTCGAAGTACTAAACAACTTGTTTGATTAAGTTTTTAAACTAAAACAAATAATCTTTTGTTGTTTACAAAGCGAAAATGTTTTTCTTCTTTGACAATGTTTTGTAGATTCGTAGATACATAAATTTTTTCTCTTCTAGTTGGAATCTGCAATGTCGATGACTCCATTTAGCGATGAATTTCTAGCAGCGAAGGTAAACGGAATATACAGAGGTGAGAGGTCTCAAGGACAGGCCGGAGTGTTTGTCAACATCACGTTGCAATTGGACGAGAACGCTGATACTTCTCGACCTACAGTTAGAGGAGATATTCAGCGACACCTGTTAGGAGTTATACAAAGAAGAAGTAATAACGTAGGTGATAGTGCCTTGTGGGTGGATAGTCCACCGGGATCTGTCTCCAATTTACAAGGTATGTTTATATTTTTTTATGTATTACAATTTATGTCTCTACATCGTTGAAAGAGAACTTCTATTGTGGATTGCCCACTGCATTTCTGAAGCTGAATTGTGTTTGCCATTATGTTCTTTACACTTTTTATATATTCTTTTATGTATAACGTTTCAAAAAGTTTTCAGGAGATGGCTTATAAGGATTATTATATATGAAAGTCTTCACATTTTTTCGCATTGAGGTTTTTAGGTATTGTTATGAAATTTAATCTAAGCTACCGTTGGAGTATTTTTCCACTTTGGTATATATTCGTGAAGACTTATTGTCTTCAAATGTTGTTTTCACATAGTTTATACATATTGTTTTTATTTTTTCAATATGAACTATTGAATTTCCTGACCATTGGCTGCTTCATGTACAGTACTCCCAGATATTCTACATAACCAATATAGATAAGTTGTAATAGAAGTTGGCATCAAAATACTAATTATATCATATTTTTCTCGACCTAGGTGGAACTTTCAAAAAGCAGGTTATCTCTACAACGAAGAAAACTATACCCAGAGGACATCGTAAAGAGTATGTCCCAGGATGGGATGAAAAATGTAAGAAATTGTATCAAGAATACAACGAAAGTCAAGACCGAAAAATTGCGTACGAACCACTGCACAGTTTGGATATAGCCAGACGACAAAAATGGATAGAAATTGTGGAAAAATGAGACTTTAGTAAATCAAGCAGAAAAGCATAGTCTTTACTTAAAAAAACTTGGTAGTAGCAGACTCCCAACTAGAGATAAAGTAACAATAGCTCCTAATAGAGGGGCCTCCTACATTGAAGCAGCCTCAAGAGCACCTGACGATTGTGACCACACCACCAAAGTTGCTAAAAATACTAAAGTCTGCATGTCCGCCTACATCTGAATACTGTGACGAGTTTACTCCAGAAGAAATTATTTCAGCAATATCAGGAATTAAGTGTGAAAAGGCATCATGCTCCGATAAAATCCATCCAGAATTTTTACTCCACTGTGGTAAATATGCTAGGAAATGGATGGCTGATTTCTATAAAGATATGTTAAAATCAGGAGAAATCCCTCATTCACTAGGAAGGCAAAAAAAAAGAAAGCAAAAAACATCCGTTGCTTTCATTGATCTATCAGCTACATACGATACTGTTTGGAGACAAGGACTAATCTTCAAACTAATCCGTGCCATTCTATTCCGAAAGGTAACTAAACTCATTGCTAGCATGCTCACCGATTGACCTTTTCAAGCTACAATGGGCAACTTTAAAAGTATCCAAATGAAGCTCAACAATGGACTGCCACAGGGATCTGTTTTGGTACCCTTACTGTTTAATTTATACATCGCGGACCTACCTGGGACAACTTCGCAGAAATTTGGCTACGCGGACGACTGGGCCATTGCAGCAAGACATGATAACTTGAATATTACAGAAACAATACTAACGTTATGACTTATGACTATATGACGTATTAACTTATGACCGAAGTGTGCTGTTCTTATCATGAATACTATGTGCTTAAACGAATCTTCACGTTCTAGTACCTCTATTTCTTCTCACTGTTTTTCCAGAATTCTGTTTTTAGCTTCCCTGGCAGCTTTTCTTAAGATTTACCAAACTTTAACTTGTAAGGCTTTTCGCAGATATACTTCAAACTTTCCACCAACTTAAGGCCTAATTCGTCGCCATTGTAAAACCGGGAAAACTAGTTATCCACAAAAAATACCATCACGTGCCATTTATAAGCATAGTCTATAATCTCTTTGAAATACTATATGTTATCTAACAACACATACCAGTGGAACAAGCGGGAAGGGAATTCGACCAAACCGCAGCTGCATAGATCTAGTATTCTCGCTGAGTATGTGGAAACAGATTTTTAAAAGGACATCTATTATTTATTTTATTTATCAACAGTATACGACAGACTGTGGTGACAAGGAATAATATATAAATTTATATTAGCTATGCCATGAAATAAGAGCACTCATGTTATCAATAACATGTTCTCTGCATGATGACAAAAACTTTTTTTTTTAATTCTGAAAGTATATTATGTTCTTGTATTATTGTTGTACTCACAGATTTAACTATTTTTCTTATTGGTAAAGAATCTTAAAATTTAACATGTAAATTGAATTTAAATGTCCTTTTTTAGATCTGGATGAATGTTCTTCACCTGATTTACATGACTGTCACTCGTTAGCGAGGTGTATAAATATTTTTGGAGGGTTTAAATGTGAGTGTCTAGAAGGATACAGAGACCCTTGGCTAGACAATAAACACCGAGCAGGCAGACACTGTGAGCAATGTTCTTCGCAACATTGTAACAATAGGGGAGAATGCAGGTATCAAAATGGGCAAGAGATGTGCACGTAAGTACAATTTATATAATTTTTAAGTTTTAGTCGGTCCTTGCAAATTTATATGTACAAACAATAAAACGCATTTGAAAATGATCAAAATACGAAAGTCGATATGCGTCTCAATATTAATAAATAAGAACTATTTAGTGTTGAGTTTATTTATTATTGAAATAGAGTTCGTATATTCACAAAACTGCATTATAAAACAAAGTAAATTTATTTTATTACTGTTTTACAATTGGTTTTACATAGCTTAACTTAATAAATCGAGTAGAGGCGGTATTAAAATATGTCATGCCACCAGGTAGACTCTACAAGTGTTTTAATTAGTTATCGTAGTAAAAAGGCGGAACCATTTTCTGTTAATTGATTTTTAAGTACTTCTATTTGATTTTATGATTTGTCACACTTTTAGAAATACCAATCCGACTCTATGATTCACAAAGAATTGATTGGTTATGAATGTGTAGAAGGTTTGGCCTGTGTTTTTTTATAGACATTATATTTATAAAGTAATAGACTCCTACATGAAGCAACGCAGCCCTTTTTTTAGTTAAGTTCGTGATATTTATTGTCTCGTGATATCTAAGTAGGATTTCCTATTACTGAAATACAACAAAAATTATTTGACATTTTTAATGTTCTTATGTTGAAGTGCTTAATTTTTTGTTATTAGTTTTATTTGTAAAAACGTAACTACTATGTTTATATTGAAATAAGTCAGAATTTATTGTAATGAAAATTATATTTTACATAAAAATTTGACGTTACCCATACCCATCAGCAGAATCGAACAGGCTTTTGGTTGCCAATGTTAAAAGAAGAAGTCACCAACAAAATATAGCAACAATGCTTGAAACAATGTTTCAAAAAAAGGTAACCCCATCTCTAGGGTAGGTAAAAAACTGAAAAATAATTGGGGTTTGCTTAGTAAAAAAAAATTTGTAACGCCATCCGTTTTCAAGATACAGGGCGTTGAAAAAAAATTTTTACGCATTTTTTACGATTTTAAATGCACCAAAAATAAAATGGATGCTTATAAAATCGAACACCTACAAGAAGACTTTTACTTAAACACGTAGATGTTGAAAAATATATGTATTTGTGATGATCGTTCACGGGATATAACAACAGAGATCAAATCGAGAATTGAAAAGGCGAGCTCAACTATTATTAAGATATAGTAAGAAGAACATATTTATTAACATAATTTTTTCACTACCACTAAAAATTAGATTGTTAAAATGTTACATATTCCCTGTGTTACTGTATGTGATAGAAGCGTGAACCATGTTAGAACAACTAAAAAGTCTTTGAAAGTCTTTAAAAAGAAAAAGTTTTTGAAATTTGGAAGTATACTCGATCCTGGAAGATCCATGGACGTATAAACATAGATGGACACAGCAATAAGATACCTTTAACACACAATGTTTTGAAGCTTCCATAGAATGTGATGCTTTCGCAATGAGCATAAGCGTGCTTGAATTTTTACTCGCGGGTAATTATTCAGATTTTAAAATTGGAAGTAGTAATAATGTATAAAAACACGTTCAAAGAATTTAAAAAAACGAGAGTTTAACTATTAACAAATCACGTCTTTATACAAAAATTAAAATACAATTTTATTTGCTTTAAAATTAATACAATAAAATATAGTTGAATTCAAGTTAATTTTTAATAGGTATCAAAATAATGCTACAATAAAAAATCTTTATGTTTTCTCCTTAATTTGCTACCAAAATAGTTCGATCGTCAATGTTATTTGGAAACCTACATAGAAAAATAAATGAGTTTTATTCATTTCACTAATTTATCTGCATCCATGAGAAATATTAAATTAAAAAGGTACTAAACAGATCTTTTTTAATCAGATAATGTCTACTTACAATTTAAAAATGTCTACTAATTTCATGAACTTATATCTTATTCAATACATTAATGAATATGAATAAACCCAATGGTACGTCTATTAAAATGTAAAAAAACACGCTTCCTCATTTCCTCATCTTAAATAATGTAAATTGTATGTACTTACAAATGAAATGAGAGATCGGGATGTAAATATTTCGTTTACTTTATTTCACTTTTCACAAATATCATTCAAAATACAGCCAAAATATCGAAAAACAACTTTTACTAAAAAGTAAACAAGAGCATTTTAAGTTTGACGTAGATCCATAAGACAGAGAAATGTAAACAACCGTTGCCATTTATAAATAATTTTTCAGTGCTTCTACATATAAAATAATTGATTGATATCTATTATACGCTATTATTAAATGATAATGCACACTATGTACACACTTTATATTTTGATTACATTTAAATACATTAATCTAACCAATAAATTATTATTTTGGTTTGATAGCACCTGTAAAGTATAAAATACGGAGTAATAATTTTCAGCCACTCGCGAATAAGAAATTTTAAAACAAAACGTGACAACAGTTGAAGGTGCTGAGAATGTGACCTATTCAAATAATTTTGACTTCACAATTTTATGTAAATAACTGAGTCCATCTGTGTTTATACGTCCATGGGAAGATCACATTATTAATGAGGATATGTTGCTGAGCATTGGCAAGCAACAAGAAATTAAGCTCACAATGAAGAATAGAAAGCTGAAATACCTTGGTCTTATAGTAGGACATAATATACATCGCCTAGAGTACCTTACCTTTCAAGAAAATACAGATAGCACAAGATATTCAGGAAGAAGAAGTTCATTTTTGCAAAATGGTTTGGTATGTAGAGATTTTTAGATAAGGTGTTAATGCAATACGCATCTTTATATTAATAGCCAATATCCGCAATGAATAAACCAATGGAAGAAGAAAAAAAATGTCAATATATTCTGAAGACCATTATAAAGGCCATTGTAGGGAGTTTGCAAAGAAACATATTGTTCAGTAAACTTTGTGGTCGATATTATGTAATAATTTACTTAATCTTAAAAAAATCTAATCCAAATAAAATTAAATTTGCAGATGTACAGGAAATTACTATGGTAGCCAATGCGAACTTGACGGTGAAGTATTAGGAGTTGCCATTGGAGCCAGTGTAGCTGCAATCATCATCATTGGATTGACTTTGGTCTGTTTAGTAATGTGGAGGTGAGAATTATTTTTTTTATAATTTTATATACTTTTATAAGCTTCAATTCTTTGTTTGCATAAGAGATTAATGCTGTTGAGGATCCCTCTTCTGGAAAAATTGTCTTAAACTCACATCCTTTTTAAACCACTAAACGTTATATCTCTCTATTTCTCTGATTGCCAACATTCTCACTGCCTCGCATGTATTTCATACGATATTATTTTTTTAGTCGTCGATGGAGCCGAGAACAAAAAGCAGCTGTTGGCAGCCCTGTATTTGGTTACATGGCTACCGCCAGTAACACTGCGAAAACGCCAGTAGTTGGTGCACCTCCTTATCAACTTACTTTAGAAGATAGGCTGAGATGGGCTCAAATTGCTGACGTTATGGCTCAAGCCAATCACTATGCGGTATGTATCAAACTAAAATATTGCATTTTATGTTCAGAATATCATAAGTTAAACAATATATAGTGAAACTTGGTTATAGCGTCATGGTAAAAAAATGACACTATATCAGAGCGTTGATTGAATAACCCTTTGGTTTCTACCTCGTTATAAAAGAGGTAGAAAAAGTTTTTTTATGAAAAAGTTCTCTAATGCTGAAAAAAGTCAGATATTTTCTTCTGCACGGTACTTTCCGAAAAATAAAGTTTTTCTGTAGTGACTCAAGTAATCTAAGCTGCTTCTTTGGTAGTTGTGAATGCCTCCCTGAACTGGTAAATCCTGGATATGGTCTCAGCAGCTCTCATTGCTTCTTGGATTGTAGGACAATAAACGCCGTCTTGTTCTTCTTTCTTATCTTCATCAACATCCATTTCCATATTTTGCACTTGTTCCACAATTTCCTTATCACTTAAAACTTAAATGTTCCTACCTGATCGTCTACTGAAACATAGGAGTCAAGATCAGTTCCAAACTCTCTCTGGTTAACATTAAATTTTTGTATCCACTCTGACAAAGGCATTTTGTCATCCTCATCAACATCCTGAATATTGGGAGAACCTACAGTTAATTTAGTTTGACGAAAACACTTACAAATTGTCACTGATGTAACGACACTCCATGTATTGTCTAAAAACTGAACTGTATCAAGGATGATAATGTTCACGGGTTCCCCATTGTCCGAACAAAAAATGATCCTTTTCAAAAGCTGTTTCCGATAATTGCCCTTTAAACTTCTTATGACTTCTTGGTCCATAAGCTGCAAGGCACTCGTGCAGTTGGCTGGTAAGAAAACTAGGTTGATATTGGTCAAATTAAGCTTGGGATGGGCTGCATAGTTGTCAACTAAAAGAAGAATTTTTCTTTTTTTTTGATAGAGTTTCTTGTCCCATTTTTATATGCTTCTTCAAAAATAGCAGAAGTCTTCCCCACGATTTTTTGTTGGCTGTGTAGTTTACAGGCAGTGTTTTTATGTTTTTGAAACATTTAAGATGGAAGCTTTTCCCGATAACCAAAATCTTTCTTTTCTCTGTACCTGTCATGTTTGCACAAACAAAAGCCGTGACTGTTTGTTTTAAAAGCTTCCCACCGACACATTTTTGATTTTTGAAAGTTAAAGTTTTGTCTGGCGTTAATTTGTAAAAGTCACCAGTTTCATCGTCATTGAAGATATCTCCATCCCTCATCCTTGTGTTTTGTAACCAATCACTTGTCACGTTCTCGTCCACACGGTTTGCCTCTTTAACAATTTTCGGAAATTAAGTGCCATTTAAAACGATCTAGCCAGACGTTAGAGCATGTGAAATCTTCACCAAGCAGTTTTCCGAACTCTGTAGCTTTCTCCTTTAAATTTTGGCCGGACACAGGTATATCAGAACTGCGACACTGCTTGCATTTAAAATGTGATCCTTGTTTTTAGGATTGTGCCGACAGTAGAATTACCGAGTCCAAATTACCGACATATATCAGCAATTTTTCGACCACTTTCAAATGCACTTATAAGACGCACTTTATCTGTAATACGCAAAGCCTTCCTTTTAGTACTACAACTTGCCATATTAAAAAATAAAAAGTTAATTACTAAATAAAAATCTAAAAACAAAACTAGCCAAACACAATTTCACGGTTAGCGAAAATTTCTTAAAGTGACTGTTCTGAAACAGAAAATTTGACTGTTAGGATGGAAATCTAGGATTTGACTGATAATGAGAAATCATAAAACTGTCAAGGTCACATAACTGTACACAAAAGGGATAATCGGGCTTTCCCACTTCTCACATTCCTGGAAGGAACAATGCCACAAAGCCGGACACGCAACGCAAATATTCTTCATAAAATAAAAAGCGACAGCCCACTGTAAAATTGTATGACTCTATAGACGAGACTTACTTTATTTTTAGCCGATTAAAACCGAGATTTTAATAATGTTATTGAATAGTTTTTGGCCGAACCTATTAAAAATTGACGTTACAACCAAGATTAAGTACCTAACTACCGAGGCAGTAACGTCCCAGTTCCACTGTATTTATTTAGTGAAATGTTTGACGTAAATAAGGGTTTTTAATTGCAGTCATAAGCGGCTCGTGTAGGAGGGGCAATGGACATTGTTATTCATAACTTTTTTGTCTTAATTCTTAATTAAAATATCAATTGTACTAATGTCAAAGCAATTTATAAAGTAAAACACCGTGTTGTTCGGGACAGTGTTAAGACCCGGATTATTGCTTGAACTACCCATCTCTAACTCACACCACTAATTTATTTTTATTTTATAGCCTGAGCCTGGCCTAACAGCTCCAACTCGTCCGTCTTCAGCGTTGTTCGGTTATCCGAGCCTTCCAATGGGAGGTACCATGTCACATCATGGCCACGGCACGCTGCCTCCAGTACCCTTGCCTAGGCTCACTCTGCAGGCGCAGATGGCCGCTAGAGCTGCAAGTATTCACAGTGCAAGACACCAGGATAACTCTAGTTCTAGCGAAGAAGAAGACAAGGCTGATTTATTAGGTAGAAATTTCCATGTACCTAGACCGAAAAGTCGAAGTAATGCGTCCATAGCCGTAAGTATATTTGAAAATAAAAAAAGTAATATTTGGACCATTAAAAAGTTTAATAATTATTTATGCAAGGGTACAGTGTTCATTAAATGCAAGTGGAAATTGTCTGCGTTAGGCAACACGTAAAGTGCAATAAACACTTTTTGCATACAATATTTTTTCTACGTTTAAGCAAAAAATTAAATATTTTGCTGGCACTAAGGTAATAGGGCAATAAAAAGGCGTAATCTAATAGAAAAATATTTATTAAAATAATTTTTGTGCAATTTTTGATACTAATATTTCTCAGTAAATTATTTTTTATTTCTACTTCTTGATTTGTGATTTATCTAAATGTACTAGTATTTAAAATTGTTCTGAAGCTATTTTCTTGTGGCATTTTAAATTAATTACTATTTAACTGGGAATAAGCCACAATTAAAGGTAAAAATACGTTTATTGATGTTTCAATTTTCACTTCGCAAATCGTTCTCAAAATACAAACAGTAAATTAAATAAATTTTGTTTTTTGTTACATAGTGAAAAATTCTTTTAATAATTTAATTTTATCTGATTCATTTATATTGACAATTCAGACATACATTATGCATTTTAAAGTAGACGACTTTAAAATGATATTGCCAATATTGTTAAGTTGCGCTCCTGGGACGACTTTACTTATAAGATAGTTCATTAAATTACATGAAATCAACTTTAACTTGAGAATATCCGTCAGTAAAAATCATAGCATGTAATTCGTCTTTAAAAAGACAAACCCATGACATGATGACAGTAAAATTCAAACACCAAACTCTGATTTTATATGTTTCGTTATTTAAAAAACACAAATGATGTATCCTCTATATGTTACTGACTTACTAATACGGGTATTTTCTTATTAATAACTTCCTCTTTAAATATTGGTAACCAGATCCTACTACATTCTGCCGAGGAATTTGCTACACAATTGGTCTCATTTAGCATAATTATGCTAAATGAGACCAATTGTAATCCTCTTTCAATATTGGTAACCAGATCCTACTACATAATTATGCTAAATGAGACCAATTGTGTCGCAAATTCCTCGGCAGAATGTAGTAGGATCTGGTTACCAATATTGAAAGAGGAAGTTTGGTAACGAAACATATAAAATCAGAGTTTGGTGTTTATTGAAGGTAAACTAAATGCACGACCAAATACTTACCATATCAGAATAGTATTATGAGGTTTTTTTCCTAGTTTTTCCCTCATAATTTACTATGGAATCTCTAACAGGAGAATTTTACTGTCATCATGTCATGTGTTTGTCTTTTTAAAGACGAATTACATGCTATGATTTTTTCTGACGGATATTCTCAAGTTAAAGTTGATTTCATGTAATTGAATGAACTATCTTATAAGTAAAGTCGTCGCAGGAGCGCAACCCAACAATATTGACAATATCATTTTAAAGTCAAATGCATAATGTATGTCCGAATTGTCAATATAAATGAGTCAGATAAAATTAAATTATTAGAAGAATTTTTCACTAAGTAACAAAAAACAAAATTTATTTAATTTACTGTTTGTATTTTGAGAACGATTTCCGAAGTGGAAATTGAAACGTCAATAAACGTACTTTACACTTTAATTGTGGCTTATTCCCAGTTAAATAGTAATTAGTACTAGTATTTGTCATTTACTCATTACTATTTTCTTCGGCTTGAAATACTTATTTCTGTGATTGCTTTAACAATTTTCATCGGCCATGTTTTGAGTTCTAGTATAGCTAATCCAGTATATTTTGTAACAAGTGTGAGGCGGATGATCTCCTGCGGTTAGCTTCGAATTTTCCAAATACAGACATTTTTCAATTTCATATAATTCAGTCGTCAGAGACACCGGCTGAATTTCACTGAGAATGTCAATTTTGTGACCCAAAAAAGGTACAAAAAAGTTTGCCGTCCCTACATCTGGGCTTTCCCCTAACTCCGTCTCCCAACTACCTCTCAGGGCATAAAATTCTTTTTTTCGAGCTGGGAAATTGTACATTTCCTTAAAAAATGTAATACTTTATCATCACCTAGTATCTTAATAATTATAATGTTCGTCATTCAAATTATGTAATTTAAGGGTCGTTTATCATCATTAATATGTGGCCTCATTATGTGGCCAGTTCTATGGTATACAGCCAACCACGGGAATTCCCCTTCTAAATTTTAAAAAATTACTCGTATAGCTCCTTAAACTATTGTATATTAATGACTAACCTAAATAGTAATATTTTATATTTTTTAGAATCAAAGTGGAATTTACTATGACGTCGACTATGATCAAAATGAGATTTACAAACAACCTGGTGGCGGGATTCCCCTCAGCACGTATAGCATGGGGAGACAACCGTTCTTCAGGAATTAAAAACAAAAGTTATAATTTTATTGTCAAACTGTTTAAATTTCTATCCATCTAAAAAATAATATTAGATATTGTAAAAATAAATTATTGAAAGAAGAAAATCGTATCTACTTATGTATTTGTTTAAGAAAATTTAAATATTTTAAAATATTATTTGTTTACTGGTTTTAGAACATTTATTTGTTTTTTAATTATCTATCTTAAGTTCCAATATTTAACACCATCTATAGTTATTACGTTTATATTCATTTGCCTTGACTCGAGGGGCTTATCACTTCAAAGGGAGTAAAAAAAGTAATAATTTTTGTTTTTCTTTGGGGTGATATTTACTTCTAAATTTTCGACTTTTGGTATTCCGAATGCGTAAATCAAAGTATTCTTCTTCTTATTGCACTGTCTTTTAACGAAGGTTGGTGATCACTTTTATAAATGCTTCCTTGTCTTTTGCTACGCAAAATATCTGTTCAGCACGAAGGTTGGTCCAATCTCTGATGTTTCTTAGTCAAGATTTCTTCTTTCGTCCCAAGTATTTTCTTCTCTCTACTCTTCCTTGTATGATGACGAGTAGAAGAGAGTATTTATCGTTTTGAAGGATGTGGTTCAGATACGATGTTTTTCAAAGTATTATCTCATGAAAATAAAGTTAAAATAGTGAAAACTATTTTCAGATAATGCAAAATACTCCCATTTACGAAAGTATCTCATATGGATTTTTAGAATACATTAAAAATCTGAAAAAGTCAGAAAGGGAGTTTTACTAAGTACTAATCAACATTATTTTTTTTTGTTTAGATTTTTTAAAAGAGTATATTCATATATCGAATTATAAAATATTCCTATTTTTTTAAAATATATTTTATGAAACCTTCATCATCATGATAAGTGTATCGACAATCCGTTGTGGATCTTGGCCTGCTCACAAAGAAGTTGCTACTCCTGTCGATTCCTGGTAACTTTCCTAGTTACTTGAGTCCTAATTCACTTGCCGCGTCCGCAAGGCCTATAAAACACTGCACCATGTCTTTCATACTTCTGCCTACTATAACTATATCGTCAGCGAATGCGATAATTCGCGTCGATGTATTCAAAATAGTTTCATTAATTCTAATATTTAATTATCTGATTGACTTTTCCAAGGCAATATTAAAGAGGAGACACGTCAGTGAGTCCCCCTGTCTTAAACCAGTATTAATGTCAAAGAACGTAGAGTTTTCTCCTTTAACGCTAACGCATGAACTTACACTTTGCATTGTTAACTGGGTCAACTTAACTAACTTAGGTGGAATCTCAAAGTCTATTATTCCATTATATAATGCAGTTCTTTTCACAGTGTCATAGGCTGCTTTGAAGTCGACGAAGAGATGGTGTGTATCTATGTTTGTAAAACCTCTGGGTACACCAAAAATTCTAAAAAAAATATTCAGAAATGGAGTTCTATTGACCACCAATCAAGATTTTTCTCAAATTTTTTCTACGAGTAGATCTGTCTGTAGAAGCAGTTTAAAATTAGTCATGCACAATGTATTGGAGTACAATAACGGATAACGAAATATAAGGAACAGTGAGAAAATCCTAGCCTTGCTTGTTTTTAAAGTTTATGGGTTTAAATTAAAATTAAACTTAAAAAATCACAAATAATACCGATTTACTTTTAAGTGCATTGGGATTTCAAAAAGTTTGATTTAAAAAGCTTAGAAGAGCAGGTCTGGCGCCTTCTGTTTAGCGTTAACGTTGACGCCCATTTTTAGCCAATCCGGCCCTGTCTATTACATATTCAATTATGAGATATGAAAAACTTTGATTTTCTGAAAAATATTTAAACCAGTGAACAAACGTTTGTAAGATCGTTAATAAAGTATTTCTTTAATTTATTAATAATTAATTAAGAAAAATATTGTTTAGGTAAAAAATTGTATTTATTTAAAGTACCTTAGTATTGACCAGTACTTGGGCATAAGATCCTTATGATATAATGTATGACTTATACGCAAGACTTTAATATTTTTAGTATTTTGTTATTTAATGTTATTGTTAATTTATTAGTCGTTAATTATATTTGTTGTATATAGCACTAAGTGTATAAGCTGTAAGACTATTTTAGATTTAGTTTTATACGTAAACATTTTGTAATAAAATTACGTTTATGGTATTTAGTTTTTTTTTTGATGAAGCTTCATAATTTTTGTTTCTGATTCAGATAGCACGGTGGAAAATGTTCTCGTGACCATTGATTGTCGCAGCTATTTATTCACCTCTCAAACATAATATCCTAGTCGTTAGTATCGATTGTTTCCACAATTATATTTGTGTTTGAGAAATAAAAATCTGTCTTCTTCTTCTTCCTATGCCATCCCGATTAACGGAGGTTGGCGACCACATTTTTAAAAGCTTCTCTGTCTTTTGCAACGTGGAATAATTCGTCTACAGTCATGTTTGTCCAGTCTCGAATATTTCGCAGCCATGACTTCCTCTTTCTACCTATTCCCTTTTTGCCATCGACTCTACCCTGCATGATGACCTGCAGAAGACTATATTTATTATTTCTTAGTATGTGTCCAAGGTATGCAGTCTTGCGTACTTTTATCGTTCTCAACAATTTTTTGACTCGACCCATTCTTCTCAGCACTTCCTCATTGGTGACCCTGGCAGTCCATGGGATTCTCAACATTCTCCGGTATATCCAAAGTTCAAAGGCTTCAATCTTTTTAACTATTTGCGCTTTTAGTGTCCATGTTTCTACCCCGTACAATAATTGCGACCAGACGTAACATTCAACAAACCTCAGTCTCAGCGCAATATTCAGATTTTTGTCACAGAACAATTGTTTGAATTTTAAGAACGCTGCCCTTGCCATTTCTATTCGTACCCGGATCTCTTGGTCTGGATCTAATTCTGTGTTGATGTAAGCTCCCAGATATTTATATTTTGTCACTCTCTCTATTTGCTGTCCACCAAGAGTTAGTTGTTCATTATTTATTGGACTCCTTGATACTATCATAAATTTGGTCTTATCTGTGTTGATGTCAAGTCCCATTTGAATGCATTCACTATTTATTGCATCTAGTAAAGTTTGTAGATCTTCTATACTCTCAGCCATAATTACCGTGTCATCTGCAAATCTCATGGTGTTTATGATTTCTCCACCAATTCTTATTCCCTCTTTTCTTTCCCATAAGGCTTTTCTGAATATGACCTGTGAGTACACGTTGAAAAGCGTCGGAGACAAGACGCATCCTTGCCTAACCCCTCTCGCAATCGGTATATTATTTGTTTCTATATCGTTCACCTTTACTACTGCTTTCTGGTTCCAGTATATAGCCTTAATAAACTCAATGTCTTTTTTGTCTAAATTGATGTTTTTTAATTCATCTATTAACTTCATATGCTGCACTCGGTCAAAGGCCTTCCTAAAGTCCATGAAGCATACATATGCACTCTTGTTATATTCCCGACATTTCTGCAAGAGTACCGTCAACGCAAATAATGCCTCTCTTGTACCCATGCCTCCTCTGAAGCCAAACTGAGTTTCATCTATCTGTCCCTCACATTTCTTATAAATTCGGTTTTGAACAATTTTCAAAAGAATCTTTAAAGGGTGGCACATTAGGCTTATCAATCTATAGTCATTACATGATTTGGGATTGTTGTTTTTTGGTAGAGGTAAAAATATCGATTCAAGCCATTCTTCCGGGATGTTGCCCTCTACATATATGTGGTTGAGAATTCGGGTGAGTCTCTTTATATTGCCGTCATCTAAGGCTTTTAACAGTTCAACTGGAATTTGATCAGGACCCGGTGCTTTTCCTTGTTTTGCATTCTGTAGGGCATTCTTTACTTCTGAGGGTAAAATTTGTAGGTATTGTTTTTCTTCATCTATATCTTGTTCATTTTCTCTCTCGTCATGGAAAAGATGGATTATATATTGTTCCCATACTTCCTTTATTTTGCTCTCTTCAGTAAGTATTTCTCCATTATTATCTCTTGTTATGAGTGTTCTTCTTTGTCTGGTGTTGCCTGTAAGTTCTTTAATTTTTTTATGTAAGTTTGAGGTGTCATGTTTGTTGCTGAGTTCTTCCAATTCCTGGCATTCTTTGTTCATCCATTCCTCCTTAGCCTTTCTGATTTCATATTTGATTTTATTCTTGATGGTTTTATATTTATTTTCATCTTTATTTTTGTATTTTCTTTTTTCAGTTATTAGCTCAACTATTTCCGGTGTCATCCAGTCTTTTTTAGTTATTTTCTCTTCTTCGCCTAGGACCTCCTTTCCCACTTCTAGTATGGCTTTTTTCATATCTGCCCATTCAACGCTTCCTTCAGTTAATTTATTTATCTCTGCGTTTAGTTGCTGTTGGCAGTTGTCGTCTTTTAGGTTTTTGATGTTAATTTTGGTGGTTTTAACTTTTTTCTCTGGTTTCCTGAGTTTAATGTTGACGTTTGCTAGTAATAGATTATGATCCGTATCTGCATCTGCGCTTGGATAGGTTTTTGCACTTTGTACTCCATTACGAAACCTTTTGTTAATCGTTATAAAATCTATTTGGTTTCTGATTATATTGTTGGTGTTATCTTTTGGAGAAGTCCACGTGTATAATCTTCGTAGGGGTAGGTCGTAGTATGTATTTGTTATGACTAATTCTTTCTCCTGGCAGTACTGGACTAGTCTGTCTCCTCTTTCGTTTCTTTTACCTAACCCAAAATTTCCTACTATATTTCCAGTTTTTCCTCGACCGACTTTAGCATTAAAGTCGCCCATAATTATTTTTACCTCCTGCTTCTTTATGTTTTTTGTTAACAGTTCTAAGTCCGCGTAGAATTTTTCGACCTCAGCATCATTGCTATCAGATGGAGCATACATTTGGATTAGATTTATGTTTAGAGGTTTGGCTTTCAGCTAAAGTAGCATCATACGTTCGTTAAAGGGAATGAAATTTGTCACAAACTCTTTTAAGTTATTGTTGATAATAATACCAACACCATGGCTGTGTTCTCCAGTGCTTTTGTCTGAGTAGAAAATAGTATTATTATCCTTGGTGTAGTTTCCAGACTTTGGCCATCGGACTTCTGAAAGGCCCAATACAAAAAATCCGTGCACTGTGAATTTTTCAATCTATGTAAAACATTTCTAATTTCAGTATCACTAACAGAAAATAAAAATATCATAATAAGAATATAACGTTAGTAGATCACTGAATAAAAGAATCTGATGAACTGGAATTTGCAGGTCAAAAGCTAACATCTGTAACACAAAACACTTCTTGGCAATCTACTCCTATAAGTAACAAGAATAATCCTAAAGACAACAATGTGCCATTACATGTTAAACAAATTCTAACCGAAAAAAGAAGAGCGTGTGCAAAATGACAAAGTCCCAGAAATGCACTCCATTAGACACAGCTAAATATACTAACACACCAGCTAACGTCAGCGCTAAATCATGCTCGTATTAACTTGACACCTTCAATTTTTCTATTAACAAGAAGAGTAACTAAAAAATTCAAGAAATTGACACTACCAATTCCTCCAATAAAAATACCTGATAAAAGTTGGGCGCAGACTGACAATGAAAATGAAAAGGCTAATATATTTGCAGAATATTTAGAAAATATATTTACCAAAAATTTAGGCCAAAACATAAACGATAATGTAGTTAGCGAATATCTAGATGCACCCTGCCAGCTAACACCTCCAATAAAAGCATTCTTCCCGTTCGAGGTTCGCAGAATAAGGAGTACCAACTCTTACAAAGCCCCAGAATACGATTTAATCGATGATTGGAAAGCCAAGTAAATTGCCCACAGAATCTTCTTCCTATCATCCGATAAGCTTGTTACCCTGATGTCCAAGTTATTTGAAAGACTCCTGCTAAATAGAGTAAGCGAAACTGTACTAGTCGAGAACATCGGTTTGGTTTCCGTCAAAAATATTCAGCAATCCAACAGTGTAGAATAATAAATAAAATAAAAAAAAAAAGAGAAATCATACGATTTCTACCTGGCGAAATCGAATTCAAATATAGGCCGCCGTGCTCCCTAAGACTTGCGAAGCAAACAGCTTGATGAATGCATCGACAAGGGAGTCTAAAAATTGCACTCCAAATGCAGTTCATCATGGCCTATATTCGTAGTGAATTCGATTTCTGGTACTCCAAATAAAGTAAATAAACAAAACAAATGACGGTATTATATTTTGATTTGATACAGAGCAGCAACAAGCCGCATATACGTATTTCGATCTCTTTAGATCTCCTCAGTACGGTATAGTTACTACTCCATATTAAACCAAAATATTTTCCCGTCGTAGATTATAGTTATTAAAAATAACTATTTACGGACGTAACTACGCCATCTAAGAACAAAAAGAGAAATCATACGATTTCTACCTGGCGAAATCGAATTCAAATATAGGCCGCCGTGCTCCCTAAGACTTGCGAAGCAAACAGCTTGATGAATGCATCGGCAAGGGAGTCTAAATATTGCACTCCAAATGCAGTTCATCATGGCCTTGCATTTTTTGACTACTTTTTTTTGTCCACGAATCACGAGTGTACAGAAATAAAACACATCGATTTTATAGTAACATTATTTACTTATGTGAAATTTCTTGAATACTTATTTGTTTACAAAATTAATATGATTACATCAATAAATTAAATAAATAAAAAGTAAAAATAATAGAATTCTATGGACATCTACTTAGGAGTTGATATTTAATGTTGAATCCTTGTTTTTTCTCTTCATCAGTAGTGAAATTCGTTTTTTGTGAATTAAAGTGAACGTAGAAAGGACCGGGAGCATATGCTAAAAAGATTATATAGATCAATCATAAATGTAAAAATGAAACCAATAAAAAGTACAAGTCTATAGCTCTAAATATTTTGCGGAGTATTTTAAGCTTAAATATTCCCAACAATTTTTATCCTTCTGCTTTAAAATTTCATGTTTCTGCTCCATATGTGAGGGCAGCCCTCAGCAATATTTTGTATGTAATTTTAGTTCTTTGAATGTTTCTTGGGGTGAAATTGTTTTTGGATGGGTCCATAGTATGTCCTATTTGTAAGGTTTATTCATCTTTTAATCTTATCGCTTGTTTTGTTGGTAGTAGTCACCAGCAAATGAAGGTTTATGAAGCTGTCAACACGTTCAAAGATATGACTTTCAAATACGGTTTGCGTTCCTTATTTGCTATAGGATCCCTAATAACTAACATGTACTTGGTTTTGTCTTCGTTGATGACTAGACTGACCAGTTTTGCCGCTGTTTCCAATCATAGGAAATATTGCTCAACATCTATTATGTCATCAGCGAATGCTAAGATTTGTATCAATTTAATGTAAATAGTATCGCTGTCTGTAATCCATGTGTCTCGGATTGACTTTTCCAATGCAATTATTAATAGGAGGTAAGCCAAGATAACCTCTTGTCTGAACCCATTCTTTATCTCAAAAGTTCTAGAATTCTTTCTCTGTATCATAATACTTGCTTTTAAGTTAGACATTGATCATTCTCGTTAATCGGATAAGTTTTTTTGGTATACCAAACTCATGCATTGGTTGTTATAGTTCTGTTCTCTTGACACTGTCGTACGCGACCTTGAAGTCGGCGAATAAGTGATGGGTTTCAATGTTAAATTCTAATGTTTCTTGAGGATCTGTCTTATTGAATGAATCTGGCCAATTGTTAATTTTTCTGAAGGGATTACCGCCTGGTATTTATTTATTTCTTATGCCCACCGTGTAAAATTGTATCATTTCATAGAGAATATTTGTCAATATTTTGTTGTTAACAAGGTTATACCTCTGTAGTTATCATACTGGAGGTATTCACGTTTTTAATGTAAGACATATCACGCCTTAAGACTATTCACAGAGCATGGTATTTTTTTGCTAGACAAGAAATAAAAGTTTATGAGTCTCTAAAGATAAAAAACATATACCATAGGGACTTACGAATAATAACAAATCTCTACTGGAATCAAAGAACAAAAATTGATAACGAACCCCGTCCAGAAATTGAAATCGGAGAGGAGTTAGGCAGGGATGTATTATGTCCCTAGTAATATTTAATGTATATAGTGAAGCCATTTTTGAAGAAGCATTACCATCTCAAAGTGAAGGAATAATAATTAACGAAAGATCTATAACAACATAAGATATGCAGATGACACTATGATTATGGCAAGCTCTGCTGAACAACTTCAATTACTGCTAAACATAACAAACAGGTTCTGTGAAAAATATGGACTAAAAATGAATATAAAAGAGACCAAATACATGATAATAACAAAGAAAACAAATATACCAACAAACAAACATTTGGGAAATGTACCGATAGAAAGGATTGATAAATTTAAATACTTAGGAACCTGGATTTCAGACAATAATGATCAAACAACCGAAATAGGAGCCAGGATAGAAAAAACAAGAAATACGTTTGTAAAAATGAAAACAATTCTCTGCAATAAAGACCTTAGATTAGAATTGAGAGTAAGAGCACTGAGATGCTACGTGTTTTGAAAGCTGGACATTGAAGCAAGGACACATAAATAAGTTACAGTGCTTTGAAATGTGATGTTACAGAAGGATACTTAGAATAGCCTGGACACAGAAGAAAACTAACACGGAGGTATTGCGAGAAATGGGCAAAGAATGCGAAATAATAAACATAATAAAAATAAGAAAGTTACAATATCTGGGACACGTAATGAGGGGACAGCGATATGAACTGCTAACGTTGATCATACAGGGAAAGACAAGAGGAGGAAAGAGTATAGGAAGAAAGAGAGTGCCATGGTTGAAGAATTTAAAGGACTGGTTTAAATGCAGTTATATCGAACTCTTCAGAGCAGCAGTAGATAGAGTAAAGATAGTGATGATGATATCGAACCTCCGATTAGGAGACGGCACTTAAAGAAGGAGTGTCTATAGCGGGGATTCATCACTATTCCTGTAGAACTCACTGTAAATTTGCAGAAGGATCAGTTCTTGGTGATTTAATATTTTTAAGCTTTTTAATAATGTGGGCAACCTCCTTAATAGTATGTAGTATTTCGTTTGGGCTGAATAAATTTCGAAAATCATTTCGATCTGCTAGGATGTGATTTGCTTCTTTGATATGATGACTATTATTTTTTATGTCGAAAAATTCAACCAATCTGTCAAAGATTTTTATCATTTAGGATATTTTCCTTTCAATTCTTTTCCCTCCTCATTTTTGGCTAAACTTTTTGTTCATTTTATATAAATTTCTGTAGAACTTAAGTTTTCTTTTGATTTCTTAGCCCTCTTATGCTTTCTAACTACTTTTCATTAAATTGCCTTTTTTTCTTCCCTTCTTTTCTTTTTTTCTTGTGCTCTTGTATTTTTGTTATCTGTTGCTTTTTGGCACTCCATTTGTTTTTTTAATGGTTTGGTTTCTCCAATAATATTTCCGTTGGATTCTCAGCTAAAATGTTTCTAAATGTTATCCACAATTCTTGTACGTTTTCTCCCACTTTCAGGCTGTCCATTCGTGCATACATTTGTCTCCTATATTATCTCTCTTTTTTTCTCTCTCTCTCTCTCTCTTTAGCAACGGTTTTTATGTACAGACTACCACATCCACATAATTAATTCTGTCTTGTTTCATTTTTTATCATTATTTAGGTTTGATATTTTTGCTTTGATTTTTACCATTACAAGAAGGTGATCACTATCTTATGATTGGACCCTGGTAGCTTCTAACGTCCATGAAATCTAAATAATACCTTGCATCTATCAAGATGTGACCTATCTTGTTAACGGTTTCGTTGTCAGGCGATTTCCATGTTTCTTTTTTGTTCCTTCTACTATCATATTTTTGGTTCTTGCTAAAGTTAATTAGTCTTAAGCCGTTATCGCTTGACTATTCATGTAAGTTCTCACGTCTTATAGTTGGCTGGAAACATTGCTTTTTGCCAATTTTTACAGTAAGGTCCCTTGCAAGAATTGTTACGTCATGACGTCTAAGGTGTCGTAGAATGCATCTTTTGCATCGTCTTCCTTTTCTTCCGTAGGCATTTGTATACTGTAACCAAAGAATTTTCCTTTAATGCGTATATATCATATTTGATTGTTTATAGGTTTAAAGTTAGGGACTAATTGCTCTGCTTTTTTTTCTTCTTCTTCAGTGCCTTATCCAGTCCGGATGTTGGCTATCATCAAGGCTATCATGGCTTTATTGACTGCTCTGTGAAACAGCTCCGCGGAAGTCATCCCAAACCATTCTCGGAGGTTTTTTAACCATGAGATACGGCGGCGTCCCGGTCCTCTCCTGTCAAATACTGTACCCTGCATAACGAGTTGAAGAATTCGATATTTTTCTTCTTTCCGCATTACGTGCTCGAGGTACGTCAAGCTTACATTGTTTCACTAAATTAAGCACTTCTTTTTCTTTTCTCATGCGCTGTAGGACCTCAACGTTGGTGAGATGGTCCACAGACGATATTTTTAGTATCCTTTGCCTATATTTTTAGTGTCGTTTGCTAGGTCGTCGTGAATTAACAGTCGGGCTTTGCTTCTTTCTGCTTTTTTAATGAATAGAATAATACTGCCAAACTCTTGGTGATATGGGTGATATGTCAGTTGTAGTATATATGGCCAGTCTCTTTTATCGGGCCAGTCCCGAACCAGCCCAACTCATCTCTTGAATCGCTATTACATCGGCTTTGATTTTATCCAGTTTTTGGTAGCAATCTAAGAGCGAACATGGCATAAGGGGTTCTTAGGTACGTTCCATATACAGATCCGTAACATCTTTTTCGATTGCTAGGTCGTCGCGTCGTGAATTAAGCAGTCTTCTTAAGTTTCTTTGTGCTTTTACAACAATCAATTTTTTTTATGGAAGAGGTTAACCTTTTGCCCAACCCCCTAATCTTCAGAGGACCATCGTATGACTTCATTACTATAAAATAATATTAAAATAACATTATTAAGATGATGATATTAATTATAAAACGATTTTACTTTAAAGATGTACTTACATCTGAAATCTTCAGGTTCAGTCAGACAAACTTTGGAAATTAAGCTGTTGGACGTTGACATCACATCATCAAAATATAGTTCTGGTACATACAAATAGTGCATACAGTCGTTGTCACCATGAAGTCCAAGGGAGTTATCGTAAGGTAGGTACATATAGTCAGGTACAAATCTACAAAAAAAATTTTTAAGAAATCTCAATGTACTATTCAGCAGATTATGATTGTGTTCAGGACAGTTCTTTAAGTATGAGTGCAAAGTTTGTAGCATTGCAAATCACCTGGTACGTATTAAAACACCGAAGATATTTTCAATGTTGTTCTATTTTCCATCGTGTATGTTAAAACACCGAAAAAATATTTTGAATCCTTCTGCATCGCTGGAGTTTATAATAAACACATTTTAAAGTTTGTTTATATATTACAAATGCGTATTTCCTTATTTTTTTATTATATTTATTTGATCGAGAGCCACTTTAGGATATTTTAGGCGTCAAATAAACACATATTTTGGTTTTTGCTTTGTTTATACCGAGTTGGGCAAATGATTTTTAAAGATTAATACTCTGCAATACATCATTGAAGTGGTCACTTCATTGTTTCTAGTCCAGATTTTTTTTAAAATTCGTAATGGTTTTTAATTTTTTTCTTGTGTGTCATAGAAATATAGTATAAAGTTACAGTAGCAGTTCAATGTGTAGTTACAGTTTGAAGTTGGGTTTGAGATTTTAAAGAGAGAAGACGCGGCGTGGGTAACTTAAGGAAACCGGCAAATTTGTTTGTAAAAAAGGTAATTAAATAATTAAATTATTAAATGTTAAAGACGGAATTCGAATTAACGGAAAATGTATCAATAACATCAGATACGCGAATGACAGGGTGGTATTCGCTAACAGTTATGAAACCCCCCAGGAATTAATGAATAGAATCACAGAAGTGAGTCAGAGATATGGACTTTCACTGAACATTAAGAAAACAAAATGTAAGATTATCTCTAAGAAGGAACAGAAAAATGAAAGAATCATTGTGAATGGTGAATGTCGAGACACAAAAGTTAACAAGGGACCAACGAATTTCGTTCTTAATTTCCAAATTGCATCATTTTGTCTACAGCGTTGATGCTCCCGGCAGTATTCGAGCTAGTGAATACATTAATGGTGCGAACTTCGCCTTTAACATTTTTAAAGCTGAGTTAATTTGTTTTATTAAGGCTATGCTTTCTACCAATGAGAACTTTGATGATTCTAATTAACTAATAGTTTTTTCAGGCAAATTAAAATTTGATTTAATGAATAAAAGTTGCTGCTGAAGAACGTTGTTTTTAAAAACTTGTTTAGTATCTAGCGGAGATTGGGAACTTAAGAAGCAGAAAAAAACAATGATACTCTTTTGTAAATTAAAAAGCGTTTACTGTTTAATTGGTAAATGTTTCTCAAAACATATATACTAATTTTTGAAATATCTATATTATTTTTATTAGATTTATAAACCTAATTATTGTATTTTATTTGTTTTATGAGACTGTAGCAGTGTAGTACAACTCTAAGTTTATTTATTTACCTTATTCCACATACGCCAATTTCCCTTTTGAAACCAATAGCATATGATTGTCCATAAGTATAGCTCTGTTGATTACTCACAGAACCATCAAAACCAAATGACTTAATATATCCAGTAGATTCTGAAAAGTATTGTATGGCACCCAAAGGAGCTAAAAAGACACAACATTATTATATTATAAGCTGCTTTTACCAAATTTTTACCTAGTAGTGGAAAATCTTCGATTACATCTTTGTTATCTCCAAAGTTTAGACCGGAGCGATGGCCTGGACACTCAAGTTGTGTAATTTTAATTCTCCAAGTTGGGGAAAATAGTAGTGGATTGTAGTTTCTGTTTGCTAAAGCCATCTGCAATTGGACTCCTTTGGTTACTCCGTCAGTCTGGTTAACGTGGATATAAACTGGAAACCAAAACTTTATTTTATTATATTGATCTTAAAGACACTTTAGCTATTAAGATTTTATAAAACATTTTTAAATACACAGCAAGTCTGGTACGACTCAAATAGTTTCTTACTCCGTTTGTGCTAGCGATTTCTGTCAATCTAGTCATTTTGACCTAATTACTTTGCATATTACTTCTTGGACTTTAACACTACAAGTCCTCTCTTATAGTCCACGTTTCATTCTTCCAACGATAAATCACATTCTCTGGAGGCGTCCATTCCACATAAACTGCTTTCTATTAATAGTATCGAGAATATTGTCTCGTACTTGCATCCTTCGTCTAATTTCATTAGTTCCTGTGTTCGAGCTTGGAGATCCTACAGCTTCTTCTGCAGTAATTCATCTCCATAGCCTTTAGTTTTTCTCTGTGGTATCTCTTATTTAGTATCCAGACTTTAGATTCACAAATAGGTCAACTTTCTACTAATATATTATAAATCAGACGTTTAGTGTATCACGTAACTTGCTCTAGAGATCAATTACCTTGTAGCTTTCTTATCTTGAGATTCTTTATTATTAACGCCTACATCACAGGTTTCTGTATTAGAGAATTTGACTCCTAGATATTTAAAATTCCCCCAATTTTTAATCACACCATTCTCAAGTCTGCGTTCTTCTTCAGGGTCACCGATTATTATATGTTCTGTTTTCCCTAAATTAATTTCCAGGCCCAATTCAGCCAACTGTTCTTGTAATTTTTGCATCATATATAATGCGTCGCCAGATCAGTCGCTATGGTAACCTGATCGTCAGTAAATAGAACATTATACAGTGTCATGTCTCCTATTGGTATGTATTTTCATCCCGCCGCATTTTCTTTTTTAGCTTGGTAAAGCTTTATTCGCCTTCTTCTTCTTTTTTTTGTATGTAGGCTTTAAAGCCTGTTTTTACTTCAATAATATCCTACTAAATTGTTTAAATTATCGCACCATCTTTTTCTTGTAATTACTATTTAAATGGGAATAATCCACAATTGAAGGTTAAAATACGTTTATTGATGTTTCAATTTCCACTTCGGAAATCGTTCTCAAAATACAAACAGTAATTTACTATTAATTACTATTAATTGTGGCTTATTCCCATTTAAATAGTAATTACTTTAAAATGCCACAAGAAATTAGCTTCAGAAAAATATCTTTTTCTTGGTCTGCCAATACTTCTTCGTTCATTTGGTGACTTATCTCGTACTATTCATACTATCCTATCCTCTATCATTCTACGAATGTCTTCATTCTACTGCTGTTTCCGTTTTGTCACCCATCCATTTTAGTTTTCTATACTGCATGCTCTTCTTATGATTTTGCTTCTCTCCCTAACCAACAGACTTTTCCCTCATATTCGTCGGAGTATTTTCATCTCTCTTATTTCTAGTAGTCCTCTCGTTTTAGATGTATTATTCTTTGCTTGCTTTTAAGCTTTGTTGTCGTATTTTTTCTTCAACATCACCATAACTAGTTATATCTATTTCCAAATATCTAAACTTTGCTTCCTGGTTTATTATTTTCCCATCAATTTTGATTTTACATCGTAGTGGGTATTAAGATGTCATACATTTGGTTTTTTCTGCTGATATTATTATATTGTATTTCTTGGCTGTTGTATTCAAGATGTGAGTTAATCTTTGGATCTCATTTCTGTCTCGGCGATTAATGCGGCATCGTCTGCATAACATAATATTTGGATTTCTTTCTTCCACATTCTGTAACCATAACCCTTACATACTGCTTGTATTATTTAGTCCATCATTATATTAAAAAGAAATGGGCTTAACGAGCCACCCTGTCTGACTCCGCATGGTTTGTATAATATTGATTGGTATGTTTCTTTTATACAGTAGGTATAAGACGTCTTCGAGTTCCGGATCTTTCGGATCTGCTTCGTTCGTGTTTATTTTAAATAGAATAGAAGCAATACAACACACTTGTCTTACTCCTTCTGAGACATAAAAACGTGGAGTTGATTTTGTACCCATCTTTAGACAAAAGCATCCATCTTAGAAGCTATATATTTTTGCAAGGTTTTTGAAATATTGGCTACAGTGGGCTGAACGCAAAACTTTCCCATTAATTTTGACGATCTTTTATAAGTAATCCAATAAAAATAAATTACTTACCATGTTGTTTATCATTATTTCCACAAAGATCTGGAATGTTGAAGGGGTTCGGTGTTATTCTAAATATGTCGTCAACACATCTGTATGATTTATAAGATGCGAATTGCGGTGTGGTTAGAGTGGCTGGGGCTAAGTTAAACTTAATGAAGTCCAACCTACGATAAAAGATAACATATATTAGTAAAAGTATTAGCTTTTTTTATTGTTTTTACTAAAAGAGACTAAAGATACCAAGCTCACAAATTTATTGTGAGGTAAACTAAAGCTGTTTTCAATGTTAAGACCTGCAAGCATATCATATCACGTTTGGTGGTCCAGGAAAATAATATACGGGATCTCTCTTCCCACTGCTCACTAGAAGCATTAGAGTATGCCTTTAAGATGGTCAATTTGGATTACAGATGAGTAATAATAGACGGCGAAAAACTTAAGCATCTCAGTTTCGCAGATGACATTATCCTTATCACGGATACTTTAGGAGAAGTCACAGATATGTTAAATGAATTATACTTTCCATGTTAATAAGTTAATGAAAAATATGGTCCCCAATAACCATTTAACTATTTAAGACAAAGAGGTAGACCTAGTGGGGAAATATATATATTTAGGTCAGGAAATAAGAATCAGCAGGGATACCAAATATGCGCAATCCAAAGAAGAATTACTTTAGCGTAGGCAGCCTTTGGAAAACTGCGAAACACTTAGGGCCAACATACCAGTTAGCCTCCAAAGAAAAGTATTTGACCAATGTGTATTACCGGTCATAACCTATAGGGCAGAAACTATGACTCTAACCAAGACTACGGTTTTGAAATTGAGAGTGGCACAGAGTCAATTAGAACGATCTATGCTGGCAGTGACGTTGCGAGACCGAATAATATGAAACGATGATCTGCGAAATGAAACTCGGCAGGCCATGTAGTGAAAATGCACGACTCGCGATGGACGAGAAAAATTACATAATTAAGTAAGTAATAAAAAAGTAGCAAGTAAAGGGAGCAAAGTCTTGTTGAATAATCGCTCCTCCTTTGGGCTGACATTTTTTGAGTTCTCTATCCAAACGCTGTTCCAATCTGGATTTGTATTTTGGCTGTTCATCATGCTAATTGGTACCAAAGATCCAACCCCCATGTATGAAAAACATCCCCAAAACTCTTTTTTTGGCTAAATATTTTACGGTTTGATCAATCTGAGATGGTTTTAATTGTCAGGCTTCCTGACGAATTTCGACCGCTGTTCCTGAACTATAAAGTGAGTTTTATCTGTAAAAAGGACTTTTCTCCAATCTTCTATAGTCCAAGTAGAGTATTTTTTGGCCCACAATAGCCTTTTTTCTTCATTCGTTCAGTTTGAAGCTGTTTTTTTGTGGACTCATTGCCCTTCTACCATTTTCCAAAAGCGTTTTCCGAACAGTTAAGTCATGAATCACTACATCTGAAGCTGCTAGATCTTGTTGGAACCCTTGGCTTGTTTTTCTTGGGTCCAATTTTCTCTTTCGAAGTAAAAATTTCTCATCTTCTGGTGTTGTTTTCCTCTTTTTTCGCATTTTCCGAACCTTTTCACATCCATAGATCCTGTTTCCCGTTTATGCTTCAAAATCTTGCTTACTAACCATTGATTCACTCCACACGTTCTTGCGATTTCTTTTTGTGACATAGAAGTGTGACATGAAGGTTATGTTTTCAATGCTTGGTCAGTTGAAAATGTGTGGACAGTGTTGAAAACTGTGAATATTGAAAAATGTCACAATGGTTCCATTAATTCGCACATCACTGTATTTTGTTATTATTGGTTGCTGGAGATGAGTAAATTTTCCCATTTATTATATTAATTAATTACCCTTACACAAACTTTCTTACCTTACTTGACAAATATTTTTGTTCCTGAGTTGAACTATATATTCACAGTTGGTTTGTCCATTAGCCAGTTCAGTTGTCTCAAAGTAGCTTACTTTGGCGTTACTGGTTTTTCCACAGGTACTTTCATCTAAAATAAATCAAAAAATTAAAGCTGTATCCACACAAAAGTTATAAAATTAACAACAATTGCAGTGTACTTTAAAAAGAGTATATAGAAGAGTAAAATAGGGCAAAGATAAAAGAGTATAAGTTATGATTACACATAACTTAATTCACTTTAAAAAATATTATATTGTACCCATAATAAGTTGTAAACCGTTCGATTACTTTTAAACAGTGAGTCAACAAATTTAAGTTTGGACAGCATCCTAATTATTAGAATTTTGATTTACTTTTCGCTACACCTAGATACCTAAGGATCTCTATATAGCATCGCTAATACTCCGATCTCGATATTAATATTAGTAAAAAATTATATATCGTATAAATTATATATCGTATATATCGATGTATCATATGATACATCGAATAAAGATATCGATATACGATATATATATATATATATATATATATATTTATATATATATATTATATATATATATATATATATATCAGATCGATATATTATTCTGTAATTAACTAATATAAAAATAATAAATAACACGGTGGAGTTTTTGGAAACATAGCTTTTTAATGGAGGTCTAAGGATAGAGCGGTAGAGAGCACAAAGATGTGCAAAATAAAACCGACAGTAAAAACTGTAACGACAGTTCGCGCGTCCACACACTACATGGAGTAGTAAATGCATGTGTGTTTATTAATAAAATATGCTACAATTAAACTTCAAAATAAGTTTATTTTTATACACTTATAAATAAAATACAATCGAATCCTATATCGAATCTAATCAAATATTGATTAGAATCAAATATAGAATCAAATCAAATTCCGAATCAAATCGATTATGGAATCGATTATCGAAATTGCTTTTAATCATTGTCACATTTTTCTAAATAAAAAGTAAGTAATTCTTTTCGTTCTTGTTTAAGACACGTTCGTTTATTACTGGTTTACCGTTCTATAAAATAATATTTCAGCTTTACTAACACACCTTAACAAAACAAGACATTTAGAAACTATTCATTAGTGGTAAGACAAGTTGTACCCAAAGGTACTGATTCACCAATAAAAATGTAAAATTGAAAACTAGTTTTACTGATAAGCAAGTTCATCTTTGATTGGTTTTCCGTTTTATCAAATAATATTTCAGCTTTACTCACACACCTTCAAAAAACAATACATTCAGCAGCTATTCGTTTGTGGTGTGACTAGTAAACACACAGTTGTACCCAAAACTATTGATTCACCAATAAAAATATAAGAATTTAAAACTAGTTTTACCGATAAGGCAAGAGAAAAACTTGTACCAAATTTAATAGACTAATAGCAATCTTTATGTGTTATCGATTTATAATTGGTTTTGATTTGGACGAATCACAATGGCAGCCAATTATTTTAGAATAATTTTCTTTTGAATATAAAATTAGAAATTGTTTTTAATTTGGAGGGTAAATGTCATATTAAAATAAAACAAAATGTAATGTTCGTTGAAGTACTTACATTAAGAAAATATTTAAATACAAAATTTTTTTACAAATGCGTTAGTCGTAAATGCAAAACCTGAAACTCTGCGTCTACAGTTTAACATACCGATCGTTCGGAAGAAAAGGGTTACATCTCAAAAATGTTCATTTCTCACTTTATTTCATTAAACTATACAAAAAGGTGCCTACTACTAGGAACCATAAAGTTTCGAGAGAATATCTACTACCAGCCAAAAGATGTCAGCATGTAACAGGATTTTTGCATTTTTCACAGAATATTTTGTACAACATCGTTATATCTCAGTTTGTCACCGATAGTGTTGTGTTGTAGTTAAAAAATTTAGGAGAAAAAGGATACATTCTTGCTGCGGTAACAAAGCCGCAACATTTTGTTTTGTAACGGTTTTGAACCAACTTTTTCAGGAAATTTATTCACATTCATACTATGTCTTATGTCAAAATGTAGCGTTTTTCTTGATTGATTTTTTAATAATTATAGTAAAATTAGGACATGTTACACTTTGGAATTAACTTTTGTGTTAAGTTTATTCACAATCTTTGGTTAATATCATAATGTATAACTTTTCTTAATACTTTTTGTAATTTTTTACGATAAGCTTTTAGACCTTCAATTATTTACGTGCACGAAAAAAATATTAAATATCTGGTTTTGTTGCAAATCCAGATATAATATGATTTAAAAATTGTTTGTGTGTCCCTATTAAAAGTTCGAATCATTATAAAAAAAGCTTTGATTTTTTTTTGACAAAATTAACCAGTTTAGTTAACAAAGGAGTTTTGTATAGAGTTTCCGAAGGTGTTGCATTTTTGACCTAATGATTTTTTAAATTTTGGTCTGGCAAACGACAATGTTTGTTGCCAAATTAAGGATTTTTAGCAAACTTATTTTATTTCTACTACCATCACGTAGTCTTAAATATGGCATACACAAACTGAACCCAAAGGATACATGCCGGGTGTCGTTCTGATTTACTATTAGATTTGGAAACGGATGTCTCCCAATATGGGATCAAAGAAATTGATCAATTAAAGTTCAGTAACAATTTCTCGGCCAATACTGATTTTAGCAGTCAGAAATATTATCAGGTAACTTTACCTTATTACATTATATTTCCTTATTGACTTATTTTACTTTGAAGAAATACCAGAAATAATGCACTGTGAGATCGAAGAACTTAATATATTGAAAAGTAGTGAAAATCGCATAGTCAATAAAGATGCTATTCTTTCAAAGAAAAAAGAGCAAGAAACTTTACATATTCCAATCGTGTCTAATGCAAACCAGAATGTTACAGATAAATTGAAGTTTTGAAGTGATATTTTGTCTATTAACTTAATTTTGGTTTTAGATGTCCAGAATTTGGTTATAGAAAAAACACAAAATTATTCATTTGTTTCATCTACCAGCAGTTCATCTTCGTCATCGAACTATTCGTCAAGTTCTTCAACAAGTAGTAGTGACTCATTAGATTCATAAAATGAACCGTTTGAATCTGATGACGGTGTTAAGAATCCATACTATATTAAATCGTAATCAGATTCTGATGATATTGGTTTAAGTAGAGAAGTAGAAAATATTAAGTTGTCAAAAAACAGAAAATTACTTGATCCGTTTAAAACAGAAAAACAAATAAAAAAAACGATTAAGAAATTAGGGCTTGTGGCAAAAAAATATAGCAAAACAGTTGAGAAATAGTGACAAAAGTTATGTTGACTTAAAATAAATTATACAAAAAATCAAGCCCTATTTACGTTCATGATCAGTATGCTTGTATTATGGGATCAGCAAAAAAAACTGGAAAAACATACAAAGTAAACGAACTTTGTGTTAGGACATTATGGAAAAAAAAAATAACTTCTGACTTGTTTGTGAATAGCCCTAAAAATGTAAAAAACTGCGTCATTTAGAGTAATCAAATTAGAAAACAAAATCCAAACAAATTATTTTATAAAAATTCTTTTGAAGATACAGATTTCTGCCAGCAGAAGTTATTAGATCGAGAAAAATTGTTAATATAGAACAAATCCAAATAAAAAACGCATATTCCACGAATTGATATCATTAGTCGAAAAGAAAAAATGCGTTCCGCCGTATTATTTTGATTTTTACAATAATTTGTAATGATTTAATTTAATTCTTTTTATGATGTTAGGTGTGTATTAAATAATTATCAATTAAATTAATAATGTTACAGATTATAAACATTTACTAATTTTTATTTCAAAACCGTTGTTTGTATTTTTTTATAATAATAAATAAACAGTTTGAAAAATCACAATTATGTCATTTAATTAAATCCGACTTGGCCTACTTAATTAAATAAAAAGCAAAAAATTCTATTAATTTCTGATTAGGAAATAAAAAAAATAACTCCTAAAAAAACTTAAAACCCTTCTAATTCAAAAGTAGTTTTTTCGAGTTGTAACCCTTTTCTTCCGAACGATCGATGTGCTTTCCTCACACGTTTTTTTATTAAACTATTTATTTACAATCTACTCATTACATTATGTATTAAATAAACGGACTGATGATCATAGCTTGCGGTTGTTGCCGGCATGTGTAAATTCACCTTGATTCGTCTAAGCAGATCCTCTGGCCACAGTCTCTTCAGTCTCTGTACTTTAAGGTGATACATAAAATTAGGAATTCATTATACCGAGCTCATTGTACTTAATTGGTATTTGTTGGTATTATAATTATTCTATGTTGGATATTTTTAATGTTAGGGCCAGTAGCGCACCTAGAATTGTCGTCTGGGGGGTTTTGGTTGGGCACCGAAATTTTTTTATGCTACCTCCACCATTTTAGGTCCTTAAAATTTGTAAATAACAGTGTCGGAATAGGGTCCTAAGGGGGGGGGGTTTGACCCCCCAAAACCTCCCCTAAGTGCGCCTCTGGTTAGGGCACAGAATAAATAACTAAATAATTCATTTATAACAATTATTCTGTGGTTATGGGTAGACACTACCTGTGCATGATAAGTCAGCGAGTCAACATATATTTCATATTGTAACCAGCCATTATCGTTATAATAAAAACGTTATTTGTCATAATATTCCATTTAAGTAGATTGAGATTTGGTTAATGTTGTTGGATTAAAAATCAGCGCCGGTTTAACCAGAGATCTTTTCGGGGCTGTAGCACCGGGCGGTTGAAGGTTTCAGGGCGGTACGCGCGAAGCGTACCTTTATACTTTAACTTTAAAGATCCAACAAATATTTTATAAAAAACTGGTTAATGGAGAAGTGGTTCTCCGCGATTGGGCACTTTACTCCGAAAGCACTGGCAATATATTTTGTCTTTATTGTGTCTTAGCTAAAAAAAAAACAACCAATTTAAAACAGGATTTTTATTATGAAATAAAAGTAAGGAAATATTTGACGAACATGAAAGATCCAATCATAATATAGAAAGATAATCTGAAAATTTATACTCACTTAAGCAAGGAAGAGTTAATGTAGAACTCGAAAAGGAAATTAGCACTGTGAAAGAATATTGGGTTAAATAAATAGAAAGAATTATAGGTGTAATAAAGTTTCTGGCTACCAGGCAATTGGAGTTTAAAGGTACTCATGAAAGGATTGGCGAAAAACGGAATAGAAAACTATTTAAGTTTGCTGGAACTACTGTCAGCATATAATCCATTTTTAAATGATCATATTGATAAACGAGCAAATTTATGTAAGGGCACGACGTCATATCTATCAAAAGATATATGTAACACATTACTAAATATTTTGTCCAATCGATTCATTGATAAAATTGTTGGAAAATAAAGGCAAACAAATACTATTCTATAAGTATAGATTCCACACCTGACATAACACACCACGACCAACTTACAATGATTTTGAGATATTGTAACAATAATAAGAATCCCGTGGCAGATTCGTGCGATTTTATGAAAACACTGGGCATAGCTCACAAGAACTTGAGGAAACTTTTATTGGGATGTTTAGAGTCTTTGCAATTATATATTAAGAACTATATATTAAGAAGCCAGTTTTAAGACAATGCCAGTAATATGAGTGGCATGAAATCTGGTTTGTTATCACTTATTAAAGTTTACAATTATTTAGCTCTCTTTGTGCCATGTGCTGCTCACTCTTTGAATTTAGTTGTCCAAAATGCAGATTGTTGTTTGGAAACAACATTTTTTTTTATGTTGGTACAAGCTATCTACAATTTATTCTCTGTGTCTACATATAGGTGGGAGTTATTGTCTGGTGCAATAAAGGATTCGCCTGAGTCGAGGCAGACACTGTTACTTAAAAGAGTGAATATAACCCGTTGGTATTCTCGTTTTGATGCCGTAAAAGCGTTAAAAAGCAATTACGGTTTGATTAAAATATGTTGATTGAAATGTCAACGGATATAAATGAGAAAAATGTAAGAGTTTCAGCAGCTTCTCTATCGGCAAAACTTGATTTGTTGGAAAACGGAATAATTTTATCATTCAGTCTTGACGTTTTACAATTAATTAATGAGGTTAATAAAGCAGTACAAAAGCAAAATATGGATTTAATCTCAACAGCTCATCTGTTATCATCTTTAGCAGAATACTTTAATTTCTTACGTGATCGTTTTGATCACTACGAGGCCTTAGGAATGTTGTTAACAGGGAACGAAAATTATGATAAGAAAAGGAATATCAAAAAAAAAAAAATTGCGAATAGAATGCTACGTTTTTATAATAGACAATCTTAAGTCGGAAAAAAACTACAGAAGAAAAAGATATTTTCAGATCGGCAACCGAATTACAACAAAAATACAAGTACAATTTAAATGAGTATTTTCCCAAGAATGTGTACATTTAAAGAATTTCGTTATCGTCCCTTCCCTAATTAAAAATAGACACCCCTTTAGAATTGATATAGGTTTTATACAAAAATAACTTAATATCTTCGTTTCCAAACGTTAATATTTGCCCTTGTATTTTTTCCATAATGGTGGCAAATCCAAGTGGCTAACGCTATCTTTCGACACTAAAAAGGATAGAGACCTACTGAAGAAATGCAATTTACCAAGAAAATTTGAACTGATATGATCGAAAACTTCGTCTAAGTAAAAGCAAGCATACAAGCTTTTTAATAGTAAATATATTTGATTACCTACCTCATGTTACCTGTGGAATGTTATTAGGTTCATTTTTATTTTACCTTTTAAAGTTCGCCGTTAATTTTTTTTTGTATTTTGTTAGTATTCATTCAAGTTTGAAACCCAAAAAAGTTATAATTATTTTCCTTATTTTCTGGGCGCGGCATCCGTATCAGCACCGGGCGGCAGACTGTGTTAAACCGGCGCTGGATTAAATGCCATAATAAATGCAGCAGACATTTATTTCCCATCCTTAGCACCTGTATTTCTTAAAAAATAATTTAAAATCTCTCTCGACTCTAATCGGCGTTGGTGAGCACCAAACAAAGAATTTTTAACCAGTTGCGCATGATGCCGATTTGAGCCCCGCGTCCAAACACATTATTCGTGTCATCACATTTTTACGTCTATATAAATTTTATATAAAATATTAATAATTATTATAAATATTTCTTCAAATTTGTTTTGTACCTATTTTTTTAACTGTTTTTTCAGCTGCTTCCTGATTTAGCAATAGTTGAATGACATTAATTTTAATTGAAAAATTCTATTCTATTTCTCAATTTCCTAAATACACAGTTTTCAACAGTCGTTCTTAACAAAGCAAGATCAAAATACAGTTAGCTACCATAAAACGCAATATTAGGAAGGTTCTAAATGCGTATTTGAGTGCTTCATAAATATTTTACGACTACACGCATCTTTTGTGTTTGCATTTCAAAACGCATATAAATTATTACAGACGAATTTATTTTATAGTAGACATAAAAAAGTCTTGTCTTTGTCCATTGTCCATTGAGATAGCTGGAATTATAAAGACTGTTAAAATATTTGACTGTAATCACTTATTATTTTATTCTGTTATAAGAAAAGTAACGTTATTATGTATTTACGAGGTAAAGGTAAAAATTATTGTTTATGCCTACTCTTTCGAATTACTGGGAAATTGTATCCACTTATATATCAAGTGTCACTGAAAAACTCCAAAACTATCTCAATCTTCCACAAATATGAGAAAGCATATACATAATTAAGGAGACTTAGAGCTTAGTTCCACAAGGAAATATCCTAAGAACACACGAGACCTGCTCTATACCAGCGATATCCTTACATTAGAATCTAACATGATTGAAACATTTGCAGTATTTTCTTCTTCTTCATTTTCGGTAGATATGACTCTGTCCCTGTTATATTAAATTGGTGCAGCATACGTTATAAATCATCTTTACTTTGAGAGAGTATTATTGCGTCGTCTGTATAGCAGATTATTTTAAGTTGTTTTTCTCTCATTTGGTATCCTTTCTTAGTTCTTCCTTTTTTTTATTATTTCATCCATAATCAGATTAAATAATCTCAAGGAATCTCCCTGTCTTATCGCATTGCCAGCTTCAATAAGGTCGTTTAGTTCTTCCATCTTTAGATGAATATTCCTAGAGGTATCTCTCAGAGGAGGATTCTGAGAAGCTCAGTGCTGCCAACTAGAAAACCCCAGCAAGGGAGAGAGTAGAATGGCGCAAAAAGCTTGAGAAGATCGAGGCCCTCTAAAGGTTATAGCACTGAAATAATTATGATGAATGGACGAAACTCTGTCGCACTTCCTTTTGTACTGCAGTATACTCATACAAATTACCCTTTTGTAAGGAACGTAATTGAACGTTTAACGTAATCCATGAAACATATTAACATATTTTTGTCGGTACAAATATTGTTATGCCATTATCTGAAGGCAAATTCGATGGTTTTCTTTGCTTTCAAATTGCTTCTGAAACTTCGTCAAATTTTTAAAGATTCTATTTTGTGTAATTTTGAGGAGTATTTTCAAGATATACTCGTAGGACTTTTTCTTCTCTCCATAATTTATCCATTACTAACTTTTAGCTATCATACAAGCTATCATAATTATATTCAGGGCAGCTCTGAAGAGGGACGACGAAGATTAATTAAACTACTTACGTAGATTAGGTAGGATTTCTGTATTTTACTATGTTTAACCAGTTTTTTGGTAATATTAATGTGTAGAATTCATTGCGGAAGTAGAGCAATCGTTTAGTATTGTTTCCATCTATAGTTTAATCGGTTGTAATGCAGTACATCATCCAACACATCTTGCAATTAAAAAGATAACTAGTGAATAGCTCATGGTATACCTAATGTTGTTCTGAAGCTATTTACTTGTGGCATTTTAAAGTAATTACTATTTAAATGGGAATAAGTTTCCACTTCTGAAATCGTTTTCAAATTACAAACATTAGTAAATTAAACAAATTTTGTTTTTTTGTTACTTGGTGAAACATTCTTCTAATAATTTAATTTTATATGACTCATTTATATTGACAATTCAGACATACAGTATACATTTTAAAATAGACGACTTTAAAATTATATTGCCAATATTGTTGAGTTGCGTTCCTGGAACGACTTTCCTTGTAAGAGAGTCCATTCAATTACATGAAATTAACTGTAATCTGAGAATATCACATATTAAGGTAGTCTAAGATCAAATTCTATATGTAGATCAGCCATCTACAGTGAATAATAAATAGATGGTAGCTGAAACAAGCGCTTCTTATTACAGTTTATATGCAAATCAATTGTTAATTGCAATAAATATAAATATACAAAAAATTATGTGTGTATGAAAAAATACTTACAAACACAGCAGGTTTGGAGAATACCACAAAATCCGTTCGGTGTTCCTTGTGAGAGAAGACAGCTAGCGTATGGGACGCACTGGCCATATTTAACACCATTTTGTGTTTGAACCTGACATTCTGTTGTTTTTAGTTTTATTCCTAAAAAAAAATATAAATCATAAGTTAGTCTTATACACAGCAAAAAGGTTTCTTCCACTAAATTCATGTAACTCAATGAGCTAACACATATTGGAGGATCAAGGTTAAAAGATACAATAATTCTAAGTTAAAAATTATGTTTATATGGGATTAAGCCACAAATGATTGTAATGATAATAGTAATGATAATAGTGGATAATAATAATTGAAGACCTTCGGACCAGAAGGGGACAAGCCACAATTTCGTCAAAAATGAGTTAAAGTAGAAATCGCACACTTTATCCCAAACAGAAAATTTCAGCTGTTCTTTCATAGATGGCACCGGCATTCGCAAAGCGAAGATGACAAAGACTACACAGTGTCTAAGAGTACCAGTGATTAGAAAAAGCTAGGAACTGTATGTTCTGTATCATTTGGTACCTAGAAAATGGTAAAAAATGGCAAAAAAGGCACATGTAGGAAGATGGGTCCTATAAGATTTATTAATGAGGAATGTTGTAGTAAAAAGTGTGTTTAGATCTGTTGTTGAGCTGAAATTTAAATATGATAAGAATGTGATTATGGTGTGATGTTGATGTAGTACTTAACTTGAAACTTAAGCAAGGAGGGACCTCTATGTCAAAAAACAACATTTGGCACCTGATAAAAATAAAAGATTTTTCCAAGTTATAAGTACATGAACATGAATTGCTGGTTATGTGTGAAAATTAAAGATGGTAGATTGTTTTTGTGTGTGGACACTTATGCCAGAACAACAGAAAACTGATGGCTGAAAGGTGGTTTGGTATGGTATTGTTAATACCTTGCTCAAATTCTAACTCAAGAAAAAACAAGAGGCCCTATATGTTAAAAGGAACATTTGGTGCCTGAGAAATATAAAATAAAAAAGGGATGAGTTATAAATTTGAGTTTAGGTAGGTATGTGAGTTTAATAGGCTTTTGGGGTGTATTGTGAGAAAGTGCATCAAAAACAGATAAACAAATATTCTATAAAACTTTATCAGAACTAAGAAAATATAAATAGCAGCAAATAAATTGTATTGTTGGGAGATTTTAATGCTTGGACAGGAAAAAAGTCGTAGGTAAATACATACATATATTCGGTTTTATAACGTCTTACGACGTTGTCCGACTCCCAAACGCCACTGCATTCTATCTTGAGTTAGGTCTTCATCCGGATTTCGAGCGCTAATCGCTTTCCTAACTCGCAGGTTCCAGCTCTGTGGTGGTCTTCCTCGTTTCCTATTCTCTGCGTGTTGCCACATCATCGTTTTTTTAGGCAATCTTTCGTCCCCCATTCGGCTCACATGCTCATACCATATGAGCTGTTTTCTCTCAATATCCTCAACTATAGTGCCCTCTTTACCCATTTGTTGTTTTATCACTTCATTCCGTATTCTGTCGGCTCTTGATATTCTCATCGATCTTCTGATGGCATCCATTTCCGTGGCTTCGACCTTTTTCTTATATTTCTCGGTTATTCTCCATGTCTCAGCTCCATAAAGTAGGCTAGTTTTAATCATTGTCTCATAGATGTTCCATTTTCTTTTCTTTGATATCTCTTTACTCCATAGAACTCCGTTCAAACATGCTATAGCTCTTCGTGCTTGTACAATTCGATGTTCTATTTCTCGTTCGTCTTTTCCACTACGGTCGAAGATGACCGTAGGTAAATACGGAGAGAAAATTAATGAAAATGGGAAACATTTAATCCAATTCTGCGAGCAGCACTCTCTGAAAATCCTAAATGGATTCATTATCATCATCACTCTGACTTATCATCATACAGCCCTGCGTGGGTCCTACCGTCCTTAAGAATTTGTCTCCAGTCGGATCCGATCCATATTTCTCATGTCTTCATCGATGTTATCAAGGAACTTTGTTCTGGATCTTCATCTTCTTCCATGACCAATTTTCTTATTAAGCATCGTTTTTCTAGCTGAGTCATTTTGTTTCATACGCGTTACATGCTTTATCCACCTCAGACGTCATATCTCAATATTTTTTACGATATCAGGTTCCTGGTATATTTTATAAAGTTCGAGGTTGTATCGTCTTCTCCACATTCCATTGTCATTCACTGCTTCATAAATTCGCCTTAGTACTTTTCTTTTGAAACATCCTAACGTGTTTTCATTTATCATCAACGAGAAACACCAAGTCAATTATAGATTATGTAATCATAAAACAAGAAACAGACATACAAGTCGAAGACGTAAGAGTGCTAAGAGGATGGAGTGCGGAACTGACCACTATAACCATACAGTATATATACAGTATCGACCGTAACCGCTACATCAATATGACAACCAACCAGCACAATCAAAAAAACTAGAAATGAATCCACCCAAATACAATATTAATGCACTGCAAATCGACTCAACAGCAATTTATATAAGTAACGGCTTAACCAAAAATGAACAAACACGATCTACTCTTCAGCTCAGAATACCTATCAAGGGATAAGAGATAAAGTCAATAAAGCAGTTTATGAAGCACTAGGCACGATTCAAAGGAACACAAGGATACTTTATTGTGGTGCACAAATGACATAGCTAATGCAGTACACAACAAGAAACAAGCGTATCAGAAGTGGATGCAAACAAATAACCCAGATGATAGACGAACATACGCAAGATCAAACAGAGAAGTAAATCTAGTAACTAAAGCAAAAAATTTGTCTTGAGAAAGTAAATGGGAATAGCTCAATACATATTTAGAGTTAACAAGACCAAAAGAATCATGGAAAACAGTAAAAAAACTGAGAACAAACAGAACAAAATTGAGTAAAACAGATTTAATAGAAGAAAGATCACCATTACAACAACATATGAACTGGAATACGATGAAGACCATGAAATGACAGTACAGGAAGTCGAAGATGCAATGCGAAATAAGGTAAACCAAACGAATTATTAAAATAGTCCACAAGTATTGCGGGAATTCTACATTCTACATATTTCCTATTTGAAATATTTTTTTACGGCATACAAATTAGAGGGTTGCGGGGTTTTAGGGTGAAGCCAGGGAGAAGAAGTGGCAAACTTTTTTGCATCTTTTTAGCGCTCAAAATTGAAAATCTTAGGAAAATTTAGCTTGTTCGCATGATTTTTAGAAATTACATAACATTCTCGACTCTAATGATGAAGTAAATTTTTTAATATAGGAAATCACAGTCTCCATTAAAATATTGACCCAAGACGAAAACATTGAGATATCGGGAGAACAAGAAAATGAAATACTTAAAACCACAATTAGAAAAATAATGGTTTATGGTATAATCCACAATATTATGAAAAAAATACAATCAAAAAAATCCTCAGAAAATTAAAAAATCTAAATAAAAATCTAGACAAAATAAAGGTCTTAAGGAGATAACTATGCATGGAAAATAAAATGATTTTCTGAAAGCACGGATAAAAGCACCAAAGTTAAGTTGGACAATACCTAAAGAGAGATCACTGAACAAACTGTACTGAGAAACCTCAGGAAGCAGAAGACATCCAGCAAGATCCATTCTTGATTACATGAAGCGTGTTAAAGATGGGACAAGCAATCGAAGATACCAAACAGTGGTTAATAATCGCTCTGAAAAGGCAGATAGTTGCTCTGATCTGGCCTATCATGGATTAAACCGCTGCAAAATATTAGTACAAGTAATACTAGAACTTTAAAGGATATTTTAAATTTAAAAACAAATACTAATACTAGTGTGAACCTAAATAAGCATGCTTTAGTTATGTATCAATGAGAATACGTTAAAAGTAATTCATATGAACTTAAATAGTACAAAGAGGAAGAAACTTGTTCATTTTTAACCATCATGCAACGTAGAGCCACATGATTCCTAAAAAATATTTAATCCGACGAGACTCATCGTTAATTAAATATAAGCTAAATATACTAACGAATATTAACAATGTCAAGACATCAAACCAATGCCCAAGAGTGGCACAAGTAACTGACATAAATAGTGTTAATATAGATAGCATGTCATATAACAGTTTAGTACAACAAAAAAAAGAGATTCAAAAATGAAAGATATAAAATAGAGAAATTAAAAGATAACTAATGATAAACGAAGAACATAATAAAACAAATAGAAGAAGAATATAAAAGGAAGGAAGAAAGAGAAGAAAATACACCAAAGAAAAGTAACAAAAGGAAAACACAAAAAGGGAATTTCGTGAACTAGATGAATTGTACAATACGACAGAAAGTAGAAAATTCTTCCAAAATTTAACAATAATAGAAACTACTTTAAACCAAACACCTTTAAACCTATTAGAACTGGATCAACGGGATAAAAGAGAAACATGCCAACCCTCAGTAGCGAAACTGAAAGGAGTTACCAAAAAAACTAACAAATAATGACTTATCTAGATCAAACAATATTAGTAAAAAACTGAGTTTCTACAAGAAGAAATTCACGATAGATCAGATCTCCATCTTTAGAAAGATCTTGAGTCTGTACTACTGCTCTAAGGTAAGTTAGGTTCGATTGAACCTAACTTACCTTTGTGCAGATGTGGATATAAAAAAGTTACAGTTCTTTGAAGTTACAAAATGAAAATCGATTTTTTCCATTATATCGAAAACAGAGATTTTATATTGAAAATATAGATGTGGCTTTCTTATGGTAGGAATATTTTAAAAGAAATAACAGTGAAATTTGTACACCCCATAAAGATTTTATGGGGGTTTGTTCCCTTAACTCCCCCCAAATGTCTGTATACATTTCAATTAAATTATTATTTAACCATTAGTAAAACACACTGTTTTTAAAACATTTTTGTCTCATAGCAAGTTTTCGATAAGCCAGTTTTTATCGAGATAGGGCTACTTTTTTATTATGTTTTAAACATTCTCTAGTCGGCTATATAACACTTGTTGTTATGGTTACTATATTAAATAGTAGTATCAACAATATAATTGTCAGTAATAAATATTCCAATTATTGTTTATTTAAGATTATTAAGAAAAACTAAATTTTTTTACACTGGTGTACACGATTTCAGAAATAGCAGATATGCATTTAATTCTGGGTAAGTTTGAGCAGGCTAAATTAGGGTTTTAGAGAGGCACTATGCGACCGCAACTTAGTAATAATGGTCGAATTAAAGTAGATAGAAACGATGAAGAGCTTTTGGAAGTAATTGAAGAAATCCCTGGAAGCAGAACAAGAGTGTTAGCAGTTCAATTAAATGTTTTTCACATGATGATTTGGAAAAGATTCAAGGAACAGCCGTTTCATCCTTATCACTTAACACCCGTTTGAGAATTACTATCATCAATTAGAAATTGAAGATTATCCTAAAAGAATGTCAATTCTTTGCACACACAAAAACAAACAACATGTCAATTTTATTCATTATGTTTTGTTTACCGAGGAAGCTTACTTTAACAGAAATGGCATTACGACCAATCAGAACACGCACATCTGGGCCGAAGAAAACCACCATGCAAAAAAGTCTCTAATGACCAAAGAAATTTTTAAGTCAATGTTTGGGCAGGAACTGTGGATATTAACCTAATAGGACCAGTATTTCTTCCAAACAATTTAAACGGTGAAAATTATTTATACTTTTTACAAAACGTAATACCAGAGAACTTAGACCAGGTCAACCTCGCAGTAACGGATAATACGTGGCTTTTACAGGACTGCGATCCAGCGCATTACCATAATAAAATAAAAGAATATCTTTTCGATCAGTATCCTGGATGTTGGACTAGAAGGGGCCCTGATGCGCCTATTTCTTGGCCACCCACAGGTGCAGATCTCAACCCAATTGACTTTTGCTTCTGGGGTTTTATGAAAGGATTCATATATTCCCTAACAATTAAGAACGAACAACAATGAAGGAATACAATCATCGAAGCTGCAAATCGATTTCGTCAGAAGCCCATGTTTTTCCAAAATAATCGATATTCCATTTTAAAACGGTGTCGAATGTGTATTAAAGAAAATGGAGGTCATTTTTAACATTTGTAAAATCGACCACATATTTGTAAATGTTTAAGTAAGATTACGAGACCTGGTAATAATATAAAAATTTATTTATGTTTTACATTTTTTTAGGTACCTATTCAGAAATTTTTAAACATATTAAAAAAGAAGCCACATCTCGATAAAAACTGGCTTATCAAAAAAAGAAGCAAAAAACATTGTGTTTAACTAATGGTACCACAACAATAATTTAATTGGAATGTATACAAACATTTAGGTGGGTTTAAGGGAACAAAACCCCCATAAAATTTTTATGGGGTATACAAATTTTTTTCTTAATCTTTTTTTTAATACTCATGCCATAAGAAAGCCACATGGGCATTTTCAATATAAAATAATAGTTTTCGATATATTAGACAAAATAGATTTTTATTTTTTAACTTTAAGGCTGTATTATGTGCCCATTTGTACTAAGGTAACTTGGGTTCAATCGTAACTATTTTTGCTCCCAGAATACGCGATTTAATTTATGACCTACATTTTGTCACACCCTGTATATATATATATATATATAATATATATATATATATATATAATATATAATATATATATATATATATATATATATATATATATATATATATATATATCATATATTGGTAGTTATGGCTAGATTTAAATAAAATAAATCTAATAATTTTTTTAAATTAATATTTAATATTGTCTACTTACGTTCGCCTTGTGGCCACACAGAATTTAAAGGATCTTCATCGGCAAAGTCAAAAATCTCCCCGTTCGAGAATTTCAAGAGGGCCACTACACAAAAAAACAGCAACATCTCAATCGGCTCCCTCTTACTTCAAAAGTCTAACACGCAATGGCCCCACTCTGCCCACAGGCTCTATATATTACCTCCGCTAGTAATGTGTACATAACTGAGTAATTTCTTCAACCAAGCCCTAAGGCTCACTCTGATAAAGATTAACGGTTATTTGAATGGTTTAGTCAATATTTTTTTAACTAGCAATATTTCACTTTTTAAACAAAATTATTTCGAATTGTTTATAGGAAGTAGGTAATCGTCAAAATAGCTTGACACTCCTTTAAAATCTATGATGGATAAACGTACAGAGTGGCCCAAAAATATTAGTTTCCTAAGAGTTAAATATTTTAAAGCCTTTCTTAAATTATATACATTTCAAAGATATAACGAATTTGATACTCCAATTAAAGACTTTATAATTGCGTTATTTAATAATTCCTATTTATTTTTTATGAATAATTTTTGTTTAGAGAGGCAGTAAACGAATACAAAAATTCCTCCTACTTAAATCCTACACATTAAATAGATAATTCTCTGTAAAAGTAAAAGATCAACAAACCAACCTCTGCCTCATCAACCCCTGAGTCCCGCAGGGTAATGGTCTTTTCTCACTCTACACAGCCAAAACAAAATTCTTGTTTACATACTTACTAGCCATACTTACACCTATCTGGTTCTACATATTACACCTATAGGGCTGCGCAAAGCCAACGGCGCTGAATATCATCCAAAGATTCCTGTCTAAAGTGCTAAAATCGTGCATGCACCATGGTGCTTAAGTAATCAAACACTTCACTACGAATCTGATAAAAGATTCCTTTTATCAGAGAAATTCATCTAGCCACGAAGTCACAAAATGAACGTGCCACTCAATATGAAAATGAGCTAGGAAGGGAATTATTAAACAATGGTTCAATAACAAGAAGACTGGAAGAACCTGACCCCAAGATCTACTTTAAAACTAAACCAAAATAGAATAAGGTGAGACATAATTGGAAACGTTAAAACATAAAAAAAAACGACGTCAACCGAAAGCATAAAAGTAAACAAAGCCAACAAACGATTGAAGATAACAAGAGCCTCAAAGTTCTAAGGAGCGAATTAGCAAATGGTAAAACAGAAATATCGAAATTAAAAGATAAAGATGGAAATGTCATCACTAAAAGAGATGAATTAGTAAAGCCTTGTTTTTATTAGTAGAGTTAGCAGTTGAGTAATTTGGGCAAGTACTAACTATTCCTGCGGTTGTGCGGTTCTACAAATGAAAACGTAGTTGGTCGAGTGCCGTACTAGATTATAGTAGAGTACAGTAAGACCGCACGGTAGTAAATTCACTTCCCCACTCGCTTTCCCTCACCACCATTTTCAATATGTGGCTTTACTCTAGCCACAGTTTCGTGCTATAAGAATTAGCCATATACAGCGAGCTTAGTTATATGAAGATGTCCACACTTTGCAATTATAAATCGCAAATAAATTATTCTTCAAGGCGTTTGGTTGCTTGGGCTAATACATAAAATATATTTGGTCTTTTGAGCATTTAGGCTTCTTATTTATATTTAAGCCAATAAAGAATAAAAAAGTACTCATTTTGTTAGCAAATTTTATTTTTTTCTCTATAAACATGATGATTTTTGTATCGCAGCATGTATAACTTAATTTTATATTCGTTTTATATATTTAATTCCTGCTATGACCAATACAACGCATGCTGCCAACTTGACAACTAAAAATAAAAAAAAATGTTTATTTAAGTATATATTTTGATTGATACATACCTTAATACATAGTTAATAATCAATCATAACAATCATAAAATAACAGTGTTATATTCATTCAATGTTAAATGTATCAAGAAGTGCATGCAGATATACGGAACCTACAGTCTAACGTTTGTTCAATTTTTCACCTGCGAAAAACAATACAATATTTTTCGCTGTATAAAATCCCAAATCACCAGCTTCAATTTCAAACCATTACCTAAGCCAACCCCTAGTAATAATATTTCCCACTACCCAAGTACAGACATTCTTGGACAATGCAAACGAAAACTCTCTCAATAATTTTAGCTCCCGGAGACAATAGACGCTGTGTTTGCCTTACTGATTTTTGTTCGTATAGAATAGACGTTGTTTATATTATAACCTCTCTGATTTTGGACTTCGCAATGAATAGATATGCATTATGGAGTAGCGCAATCGCACTTCTCTGCGATTCAGGACTAGCACACCTGCCCACGCGATCTCATGGATTTTCCCTAGCCTCCTATCACCGGAAAACCATGTCCAAACCGAAAGCATTCCTAACTCTACTTTTACCTTCTCTTCCTTCCAATTCAACTCGCCAACACGCACTAGCCAAGCGTTGTGTTTTAATGGTTTAAAACTCCAAAAGTTATTTTCCTTGAACGACGAAACTACTGAACGGTCCTCAGTTTCTGGCGGCTCCAACACGCCCAATCAAGGTAGCGATTGAAACAAATTTGGAGCAGAGGGTGCTAAGAATCCCCGGAAAAATTGGGCTACTACTAAAAGCGACAGATGCATATTACTTCATACAATGTTAGAAGTCTTATATCAGACCAAAAGATGATGAAACTGAAGGAAGAGCTGAATGGAAAAAATGGGACATTATTGGCCTCAGTGAAATAAGACGAAGAGGAGAAGCCCAAATTACTCTTAAATCAGGACACTTATTTCATTTTAGAGGTGAAGAAGACACTTCAAATGATGGAGTAGGATTCATTATACATAGAAAGCACATACAAAATATGGTTAAAATTATGAGCATAAGCCCCAGGATTGTATATCTCATCTTCAACCAACTACCCAGTCGGATGAAGAAATTAAAGAATTTTATGAGGACCTAGAAACAACGTTACATGCGACACCAGCATATTAGGCAATAATTATGGGTGACTTTAATGCGAAAGTGGGGTTTAAACAAGATCATGCAGAAGTAGCAATGGTTAAGTATGGATATGGCGAGAGAAATGTACGAGGGCAAAGATTGCTAAACTTCGTACACCAGGAAAATTTATTCATGATAACTCTTTTTTTGATAAAAAAGCGTCAGCGTAAATTGACATGGATCAGCTCAGATGGCAGTGTCAAATGGAATAGATCATATCATAACAAATAGAAACGAAATAATCAAAGATATCGAAGTACTCAACAAATTTTTTAATAGGAAGCGACTATAGAATAATCCGAGCTAGAATACTATTAAATGTCAAATTGGAAATAACAAAGATGATCCTAAAACCAAGCAAAAAGGAATGGATTTCCCCAGAAAACAACGACCTGTATGAAGATAGACTAACCACAATATACAAGACTTGCAAGATAAAATAAAAGATGACGATCAAGCAAATGATGGCATAACAAAGGCTCTAAAAGAAATACTCTCTCTCTTCAATCCTGACCCCCCAGGGGGAGTGTAGTGGTCGACGTGATGTCGTGTATTGTCCGTCTCCAGAGATCTCTGTCTCTGGTCATTTCTTTTAATTCATGCATAGGTCTTTGGCATATTCCTGTAATTTGATCTATCCATCTTGTTGGGATCTTCCTCGTGATCTTCGGCCTTCTACCTTTCCTTGTATTATGAGTCTTTCCATGTTTTCTGTGTTTGCTCTCATAACATGTCCAAAATATTTTAATTGTTGGAGATGAACTTTACTAGAGAGTCGTTGGCTAACTTTTAGCTTTCTTAAAATTGAATTATTTGTTCTACAGTCGGTCCAAGGAATTCGTAACATTCGTCTCCAACAAAACATTTTAGTGGCGTCTATCTTTCTTCTCTCCGATTGTCTCAGAGTCCAAGATTCAATAGAAATACATTTTACACTAAAATATATACATTAAACTAATCATAAACATTAGTGATAAAAGTTGATGACCTTGGTTTATGATGTAGATAGATGTTGAGATTTTAAGGGATTTTACTAGCCTGAGATATAGGTGCAAATGGGATGGATGTGACAATTGTCTAGTACGGTCACACGGCAAGTCTAGCCACTTTATAACACATTTATAACAAAGCTTCAAAAAACAATAGGTTACCATATAACGTACATATTTAAAAGCGAAATCAGTTAAACTCTATACTAAAATTAATTAGTTCCTTAAAAGTTACTTACGGCCAAAAAGCATTTTGGATTATGCGTATTTTATTTTCAACTGCTCAACCAAAAGGAATACATAAAATTTTATATTTGACAACAAACGAAACGACATTGACATTTCTGGCTTTTAAAAATACAACATTTATTATTATAGTCCAGTCTTCAGAGTGTTGAACCCTAAAAACCATACGAACAAGCTGAATTTTGCCAAGAATATTAATTTTAAGACTTCAAAAAATATGCAAAAAAGTTTACCACTTTTACCCCCGGACTTCCTCCTAAACCCTCCTCGTAATGGGGTAAAAACAAATAAAAAATCGATTTACCAAGTATCTGTACATCGTAGAAAAAAAAATTTCAAATAATAAATGTAGCTGAGATAATTTTAAACAAAAATGTTTATTAGCACTTTTTGTGTAGAAGAAATCGTTCTCTTAGAAACAACCCTTGAAGCGACCGTCGGTTTTGAAAATCAATTACGTGCGCAGAAACAATGTTCAATAAAATTTGTATCAAATTTTTCAATAGTGTCAGTATTTTTCTACTCCGCTCCCTTCCCTCGTATTTTATTAGTTCCATATTAATTCCATCTTTACCAGGGACTTTTTCATTTTTCCTTCTCGATATTACTTCCTCCAATTCCTCTTATGTTGGTTCATTTGAAATTTCGATGTCTACTTCATCAACTTTGTCCTGCTTCTTCGTGCATTATTTGCTCCTTGTTATTCGTTTTTTCTCCTGTTGTTTTCTCCGTCAAGAACTCTCTGTAGTAATCCCTCCATACTCTTTTGTATTCTTGATCCTTTATGATCACTGTTCCCTATTTATTTTTTATTCCGTTTGTTTTGCCTTTTTGTTTTTTGTTTTGTTCTTTAATCTTTTTGTAAAAATTTTTTGTATTTCTGTTTGTTCTTTAC